TTATTCTGGACACTTTGATCGATTGCAAGGGTGGGTTAGACTCCCGTGCCGGCGGTTTCCGTTGCGCACACCGAGGGCATGATCCCAATAAATCCCCAACATCCCTTGTCATGCCAGGCCAAAAAAAATCCAGTTGTAGTAAGGCGAGAGTCTTTTGGGTCCCCAGGTGTAATAGGCGCTCATGCGCGGCCCACACCACCTTGCCTCGCAACCCAGAAGGGACCACCAGCCGATGTCGCTGGGATTTTCCGTCCCAATGCATCAGCAGACCTTGCACCATTTCCCATGCATCAGAATCACCCTTCACCCGTCCAGCGCCCCCGACGCGACGACGCCACCCGAGGAGAGAGGTATCCTCCATCTGGAGGCGCCCCCATTCAGTGACGGGCAACCCCAACAGGGAATCTCTTCCCTGTTGTTCGATCGTATTAGTAATTAATGTTTCGTCGTCGTTGGTGGCTGCCAAGACCGGAACCGATACGTCCCCTGAAGGCCTGCAACGTCCCGACCCCAGGAGGCATGCACATTCGGAGGTGGTTGGTATGCGCGACAGAGCGTCCGCATTTGTGTGGCGAACGCCCTTACGGTAGGTGGTTTCAAAATCAAAGTCCTGGAGAATCTCCAACCATCGAGACAACTGTCCCGATGGTTGTTGAACTCGCAGGGCATACTGTAGTGCCGCATGATCTGTGCGGACGGTGAAATGCCGACCGTACAGATATGGGCGATACTGTTGGATGAAATAGACAATTGCAAACAGTTCCCGACGGGTGACACAATATCTTTGCTCCGCAGGAGACAACACCCGACTACCGTACGCGACTACCCGTTCCACGCCGTCAACCACCTGCGAAAGCACGCCCCCAATACCCATGTTGCTCGCATCGGTGTCGAGCAAAAAGGGCTTCGAAAAATCGGAGTAAACCAAGGGAGGAGCTTTTACCAGGGCGTCCCGAAGGGAGCAGAAAGCAGCCTCCTCCTCTTGACCCCAGTGGAACCGAACCCCTTTAGATGTTAAAGCGTGCAGGGGTTTGGCAATTGTCGCAAAATCAGCGACGAACCGTCGGTAATACGACGCGAAGCCAATGAAACTCCTGACCTCTCCCACCGAGGTGGGAGTCGGCCAGGAGCTGACACACTGCGTTTTGGCGGGATCGGTAGCAATACCTGAGCGTCCCACGATGTGCCCCAAATAACGCACCGAATCGCGCAATAAATGGCATTTTTGGGGCTTGAATTTCAAATTAGCAGCCCGCATCTTTAGGAAAACCGCCCGCAATTTCTGGAGATGTTCGTCAAAAGTTTTACCAAAGACGATAACGTCATCCAAATAAATGAGGCACGACTCCCATTGCAATCCAGCCAAAACCAATTCCATCAAACGCTGGAAAGTTGCCGGCGCTGAGTGTAAGCCCATCGGCAACCGGTTGAATTGGAACAGGCCGTGCGGTGTACGGAAAGCAGTTTTAGGCTTTGAATCATCGTCCAGAGGAAGCTGCCAGAATCCCGAAAGTAAATCCAGTGTGGAAAAGAATCGCGCTCCCGCCAAGGCGTCCAGCGATTCATCCATCCGAGGGAGCGGGTATGCGTCGGCAACCGAAATTTTGTTAAGGCGCCGAAAATCAACGCAAAACCGCAACGATCCGTCCTGCTTTTTAACCAGGACGATCGGCGCTCCCCAAGGGCTGGTGGAAGGAGAAATGATGTCGGCAGCCAACATGTCATCAACAGCCGATTTGACATGGTCCTTTTCGGCGGGACTCAACCGAAACGGATTTTGGCGAATTGGCGCGCTGTCACCCGTGTCAATATGGAGATGCAGGCAGGTGAGTACAACCCAAATCGTATTTATTCCGACTAAAAACGTCGGAAAATTCCCGCAGTAGTGTTTTAAGTTGTTGACGCTCTGAATCTGACAGGTCCGTCGATCCCGCACAAAGCGCCTCGAGCCACCCTTCATCGCTGTCCGAATGCGGTCGCGGCGCAGGGACAACGCTGACGTGATTTGCGACGGGTTCCTCACATGGCACCGGCGTTGCGTGAGCAAGCACGGTCCCCTGTGGGACCACCACCGTCTGCGAGCCCACATTGAGGACCGCGATGAAGGGTTCACCGTCCCCTCTTACTATGGTCTGGGCCGGAAGTAATTGAGGTCCACTAACCCCTGCCCTAGACGGCCCCAGCAGAACCCCTTGGGCCCCAATACCCTTAGCGAAGGGCCGCCGAAGTTTCAAAGGAATCAACATTTGTGCCCCCGGAGGGACGCGCACCGTTCTCTCTACGAATGCCGGCACCGTCGCGAACGCCGTCCGAGTCGTAACTGGCGATGGCAGAAACGCCATGCGTCTGCCCGACGGGAGCTCAATGCATCCCTGGTCGATTAATATCCTAATCGGCATTTTGGCCAGGAAGTCCGTCCCCAGCAGGCACGGAACCGCCAGTGAGGAGGAAACAAAAATCGGCCCAGACAATTTAATTTCCCCAATACAAATTTGGGCACGAATTTGTCCGATGATGCCAAGTGAGCCCCCGTTAGCCGCATAGAATGGTACGTTAACAGGCATCAAAGGACGGCTCCGGACAGGGAGAATATTGTAAATTAACTCCGAAATAATGGTCGCCGATGCTCCCGTATCGACCAGGATGCGCACCTCAACCCCGTCGATGTGCCCCACAACGGCCGACGACCCCGACGATGCGGCTACCACACGATCGGCCAGCACGGACCACTGGCCGGGTTCGATATGAGTACCCAGAGTGGTGCGTGATGGTGCGATGGTGCGCGATATCGGCCCCCCTCTCGTTGCGGTGTTTGAGTGCGTGACGGGCGTGTGCGTGGGCCAAACATGTGGGGTGCCGCGACTCGCCGGGTTATGATGGTGGAGCTTGTGATGAGGCCCGTCGTCCCGTTGAGGTGTCGTCCCGCGCTGACGAGGAGAGCGGCACCCCGAGGCGACGTGGCCCCGGACGCCGCAGTTGAAACACCTCGGGAGCGCCGTCGGAGGTGACGGACGGTCGAAACGGCCCGACCCGTCCCGGCCCGACCGTGCTCCCGTCGCCTGTTGCCGTCGGTGGTCGACGGCGTAGAGCTCCTCCGTCGGAAGGGTGGCTGCAGCCACCGCACGCCCCGCCGATGCCCTGCTGGCTTTCCGCCGCAGTGACAGGAGGTTGGCGTGGAGGAGCCGCGCCGCCTGGAGCGATGTCATCTCCGCGTCCTCCTGTGCGACGACAGCGATGTCAAGGTCGTCTGCCAGGAGGAGGATTTTCTCAGTGACCATTGCGTCCACGCCGTCGTCGTCCATACGAGGGAAGGCCAACTTAGCCATCGCCAGGAGGCGTCTCGGGCTCGACGATCTCGGCAGTGTCTTCCTCCTGCGGTACTTTGGCCCGAGCTGTTTTCCGCGTGTCCATGTTCGTATTACTTCTGACTCCAGTTGAAGTACCGGTGAAGACGCTTGACACCGAGGTTGAGGCACACGTATATTTATTTCACAATAGGGGTCATATAACACTCGAGGGGGTATCGGCCCCCTCACCCGTAAAACTCGGGATACACCCCTAGCTAACTCTGTCCTAGCCCTGGGTCCTCCACTAATGGGCTAGGGGAGGCTAGCTGGCCCGACACTGGTAAGTCGGGCCCGGTACCCGGAGTCCCAGACCAGCTCTTACAAGAGCACCGGCTCTGGCTTTCGGGACCACGCCACTGGCTCAGTCCTGTCCGGCCCTGATAAGGACATCGAACGAGGGGAGTCCAGGGCTCTATCTAAGACGTCTTCAGTCTTCTTCCTTTAGCTTAACACATAACTCCCGAGCCCTTTGAAACATCCCCTTTTATACCCAACCCCTCCCTGAGGGGTGGGGCCCCGGGGGATCATAACGTTCGAACCAGCCCCCCCCAGAGTGTCTGGCTCGGACGTCGTAGAGGGCACCTCCCCGTGCACTTACGTAGCCCCGCCCACTGTGTTTGTTTTCCATAGGCTGCCATGCATAACGGGCCCTCTCTTTAACACCCCTACACATGCATAAACAGCTTTTGTTCGGCCGGATCGAGGGGGCTAAACGGGCGCGGCACGGGCTAGAGAAGAAATGGAGTGATGTGGTACAGGAGGACGTGGAGCTGAGTGGGCTTGCCGATGACTGGTACCAGCGGTGTCAAGATCGGCCTTTGTGGAGAAGGCTCGTGAGGGACGCTACTGGGCAGTTGGAGGCAGTCGCCCTCCAACAACAACGGAGGGCGGAGGAGCGACGCTCACAACAACGAGCGGAGCGCCGGGTGGCTAAAGCACAGCAAGTTGGTACAGTAGGGAGCACAGGTGGTGCATCAGCCAGTCATCTCGGTCATCTCGGTCAGTCGACCGGTGGCACCTGGGTGTGTCCCGTGACCTCCTGCCAGCGGGCGTTCGACACTTCACGTGGCCTCAAGGTGCACATGGCCTGGCACAAGCGTCGTGGTGACGTCACCGCCACTTAGTGGCGAATGGCGGTTGTTGTTGTATGTGTTTGTATATGTGTTTTTGTGTGTATGTGTTTGTACGTGTGTGTGTATGTGTGTGTATGTGTGTACGTATGCGTACGTGTGTGTACGTTTGTATATGAGTGTATATGTGTGTACGTGTGTGTATACGTGTGTGTACGTGTGTGTACGTGTGTATATGTGTGTATATATGTGTGTGTGTTGTATGTGTGTGTGTATGTGTGTACGCGTGTTTACGTGTGTATGTCAGTATGTTTGTGCGTATATGTGTGTACGTGTGTGTATGTCAGTATGTGTGTGTGTATGTGTTTGTATGTTTGTATATGTGATTGTATGTGTGTGTACGTGTGTACGCATGTGTATGTCAGTATGTGTATGTGTTTGTATGTGTGTGTATGTGTGTGTATGTATATGTGTGTGTATGTAGGTGTGTGTGTATGTGTGTGTACGTGTGTGTATGTGTGTATATGTGTGTATGTGTGTGCCAGCCCACGCGAGAGCTCTCCAAGCCCATGAGCGATGACGATCAGAGCGGGACTCGGCCGACTGTGACTCGTGGACAGCGACAAGTGGACTCTCTCATCTCGTCCTCCATTACACAACAACCACCACAACAACAACAGCAGCATAGCTTGATACTAGCCTCAAGTCTCTTCCTTAACAGCAACAGCAGCAAGACGAACCGCCACGCTCCACGAGACACGGCAGCTGCTCTTTACAGAAGGCGACAACACCCAGCCGAGTGACCCGGGTGAGTCCGAGTCCTTCTCCTGCTCCTTAAAATTAGTTCTGCTCAGCACGAGGAGCCACGCGAAGGCTCCAAACGTCGAGCAGCCAGCAACAAAGAGCACCCATCAAGTTTACGGCGCCACGGTAGCGTGATGTTAACCACCTCGCCAGGGATACAGGAGGACGTGGGTTCGATTCCGACACTCACGTCTGCCTCTCTCTCTCTTCCCGTGGTGGACGCGTGGAGTTTTCTCCGGGTTACCCGGTGTTTCCCTCCACATTTAGAATCAATATCATGCGTGTAGAGTATTTGGCTGCGATACATTTCCACGTGATGATAAGCTTATTCGTTGAGCTATCATTCGTGGCCGGGTGGCTTCTGAAAAGAGCAGCATAGCTCAGTGGGCCTTACCTGGTAAAATAAAAAAAATGTGTTTAGTTTAAAATAGCGGGATTCTTGAATGGAGCGAGTTTTTATTATTATTATAGCCTTGGGAGAGGATAAGAGACGATGATCGTGGTGATGGGAGGAGGGAATTCCGGAGTGCAGCAGTGCGAGGGAAGAAGCAGAGCGAGGGAAGTGAGGTGACATGTGGCAGAGATGCATAATTGATGAGTTCCATTTTTACCCTTTAATTACTCTCTCATGACTCTCTTTCTCAACACGTGTTTAAATACTGTGTTGTGTGATGGCACTGCTCCATATATTACGGATGGCAGCGTTAAACTCGTTGACTCACCTCTCTAGCCCTTCTATAACATCACTCGAGTCCACATCACTCACTCAGCTCTCTAGTCATTCTAGAGTATCATTAGAGTTCACATCAGCCGATCAGCTCTCTAGCCCTTCTAGACCATCATTAGACACGCAGAAGTTTTCAATGTACAGTATGTTTATTGTTTAAGGTAGAATGCATACCTTCTGTTTTAAGTGTAGCGGGGTACACCTGCAAATTAATCGGCCGGGTCAATAGATATTTGTATAGTGCCGTACAACAAGCGTACGTAAACTCACTGGCATTGATGTTAGCATTGACTGGGGCTCCATGGTCCATCAGCAGGGCTCTTGTCGACACCCTCTGATCAGCGTTTTTTTTTTAACAAACCCGACTCTCCTGATGAGACGACACTCATCAGAATCAGAATGTTTATTTATACTGCAGGAGGAATCCGATGAGCTATAAAGCTCTTTTTCACAAATGTCGAGTTGGGGCACGAGGTCAAAACGTTACAACAACAAATGATACAAAGACACGATAGGAGTACAAAGTTTAGAAAAGAGTAAACAAATCACTAAACAATATCTACAAATAAAACCAAACCATTTGTATTATTTACCAACTAAAGCCCACTGAGCTATTAGCTTCTTTTTTCCGAAGCGACCTGACCACAAATGATGGCTCAACAAAGTGGCTTACCATGTGGGCGTTGATAGCAGCAGCCAAACAATCTAAATAATATAGTGTCGAAACCGGCCAATGGGTTTTTGTTCAAACAAAGGCTGCTGATCAGATTGAAATCGCAAGACATTCGCCAATAACACTGGCCTCAAAAATATCAGAGTATATAACAGGTGACGTTTCGGGCAATGGCCCTTCTTCACGATACATAAAGGCCAGAAAGGTGTAGTGAGTTGTGTTGTTCTTTGTGCTTGTGCAGCAGCACCAGCTAGAGTAAATATCTGAGTGGTCAGCCACTCCACCGATGGGCTAACACATAGATTGAATTTGCTGGAATTTTATTCTAATATGTGCATCATAGTCAGCCATGCTCAATCCGCTGCTGTGGTCAATCCTCTGGTAGATAAAGTCCACCCACGTCACCTCTGGGTTTTACCATACTGGATCACATTGTGAGGAGCTCACAGGATCTTTACATAGGCCGCATGCCCAGCCACCGCATGCCCAAGCACCTTCTGTTTGGCCGGATAGAGGGGGCTACACGAACGCGACACGGGCCATAGAAGAAATGGAGTGATGTGGTACAGGAGGATGTGGGGCTGAGTAGACTTGCCGATGATCGGTACCAGCGGTGTCAAAAATCGGCCTCTGTTGAGGAGGCCCGTTAAGGGCGCTGCTGGGCAGTTGGAGGCAGTCGACCTGCGACGCTCACAGCAATGAGCGGAGCGACGGGTGGTTAAAACGCAGCAAGTTGGCACAGGAGGGGGTACAGCTGGTGGTGCCACTGCCAGTAACCTCAGTCAATCAACACATGGCACCTGGGGGCTTTTTCGATGACCTGCCAGTGAGCCTTTGACACTTCACGTGGCATGAAAGTGGACCTATCCTGGCACAAGCGCCGTGGTGACGTTATCGCCATTCATGGCGAATAGCGGCAGTTGTGTGTATGTGTCAGTACTGTATGAGTACCTGGTGCTGTGTGTAGTAAACATTGACACTAGGCAAAGACGGCCGGGCGTGGTACTGCCCCCCCACCCCCGTGTGTTGCGCCGGCCTTAATAAGTGCTACTCGTATTCTTTGGGTCCAGGAGGAAAAAAGAGGAAAGCTGCTGAGGCAGACTATTTTTTTCCTCCTCCTGATGACGACCGCTTGTGTTGTGATCGAAACGTCGTAGTTTTTTTTGTTATTTTATTTTAGCCTATTTACGTGACTTTACCGAAAGACCCAAAGAATATGAATTCCTGCAGTCACGAAAGCTTTAAGTCAAGGTGCTACTCGCTAACAGCACTTGCCCTAACAGTATGTTAAGGCTATAGGGAGATCTTTGTCTTGTATGTGCATGTTTGGGAGTGATAGTGTAGCGGTTAGCGTGCTGCGCTACGAACCTCGCGACCCGAGTTCGATTCCCACTCACGACCAACACCAGCGGCGAGTATCTGAACCGGTCCTGGGCCGAATCAGCACTTGCACCCCACACCAGAGACGAAAATGAGTTTCTGGTGTGGTGTGCAAACATCTCCACTAGAAAGACAAAGGCGGTCGGGCGTGGTGCTTGTGTACCGTTTCGGCCTTCATATAGGTGCTCGCTAACAGCATTTGCCCCGACAGGTTGTTAAGGCGATACGGGGGATGTTTGTATCGATATGAGTGAATATCATTACAGTATATGCGTTCGATATACACTGATAAACAGAAGAACACCCGGATCAGAGAGCACGTGCTGATTAAATACATCGTCCAAACTGTGAAGAGATGCGAGTGAAGCGTGGACAGGAGGCGCATCGTTTAGAATGGATGGCGATCCAAATGACTGGACACTACCAAACCATGTTATATTTCAGAAGGTAAAGCCCACTGAGCTGTAGAGCTCTTTTACAGAAGCGATCTGGCCATCACAAATGATAGCTCAACGAAGTGGCGGCTGATCATCATCACCTGGATATTTTATAGTTACCAAATACTCTAAATACCTGTTATTAAATGTGGAGGGAAAAGCCTGAGGACCCGGAGAAAAATCCACGCGACCACGAGGAGAGAGAGACATACAGACTACAAATATACAATAGGCGGGGATTGAACACACGACCTCCTGTATACCAGGCGAGGAATTTAACATCTCCTAGCCACCGCGGCACCCGCTAAGGGAGCAGCAGCCGAGGAATGGAAAGCGAGGAGATGGAGCGATGAAATCAGCTCCATGGTGTGCAGAGTATCTGCTGGGTGGGTTGTTACATCGCAAGCTAGTGGTGATGGCTTGGGAAAAGAGGCCCTCGTCCAGCAGTGGATTGACATTGGTGGCATATGTATGTTGAACTTATTTCGCACGGTACGTAGCCATCCACACTACTCGGAGGTGAGGGAGGTGGACAACAAACCAAACACAACAACAAGCAGTTCTAAAGAAATGTTTGTCAATCTAGATGATGTTCAAGTACATTGCTCCAGTGGCTTTCTAATATCAGAAGGAAGAACGTTCCAGACGGCCGCAGAAGGCATATAAAAGTGCGCGATGCGGTGACGCGAAGTGGTCTTTATTCGATTTCCAGCCAAAATCCGTTGCTGTGTCGATGATCGGAGTTCGCGTGATGATGGTTTATGTTTCTTGACGAGATCAGGGAGGTATCGTGGTTCATTTGTGGAAAGCACTTTGTGTGTAATGAGCGTGACCTTATAACAACGTACACGTTCGGCAATGGAAAGCCAACGCAGCTCAGCGAGCTGGATGGATACGATCAAATCTTGCAGTACCGGTCACGACACGAATTGTGTACATGCTGCATTGTGGAAATGTTTTTTGCCAGACGTCCTGTAGAGTAGTGAGTTACAACAATCGAGACTTGTCAATACAACGCTACACGTCACATGATGATGTATCCAAACAGGTGCTGGCTTGAGACTTGTGGAACCCAGAGGAGGAGGGGGAAGAGTAGGCAGAGGGGAGGGAGCGATGGCGCTTCTGCTCCGCATCAGCTTCCTCACGTGTGATGGCTGTCGCATGTCTCGCCCGGAGGCCTCCTCGACCCAGCAGTACTGCGCCGTCAACATCCGCCAGGCCGTGCCCAATGGTCAGTGCTGGTGGTGGTGCTGCTGCTGGTCCATAGATTCACACAGAGACCATCGCTCTTACATGGACACCCATAGACTCACGCAGACACCCACGGTCTTACATGGACACCCATAGACTCACGCAGACACCCACGGTCTTACATGGACACCCATAGACTCACGCAGACACGCACGGTGTTACATGTACACCCATAGACTCACGCAGACACGCACGGTCTTACATGGACACCCATAGACTCACGCAGACATCCACGGTCTTACATGGACACCCATAGACTCGCGCAGACACCCACGGTCTTACATGGACACCCATAGACTCACGCAGACACGCACGGTCTTACATGGACACCCAGAGACTCACGCAGACACGCACAGTCTTACATGCACACCCATAGACTCATGCAGACACGCACGGTCTTACATGGACACCCATAGATTCACGCAGATACGCACGGTCTTACATGGACACCCATAATCTCACACAGAAACCCATCACTTCATGTATCTCATGCAGAGGCTCATGCAGAGACCCATCGACTCACACAGAGACCCATCGACTCACGCACAGACCCATCGACTCAGGCACAGACACATCGACTAACGCACAGACACATCGACTCACGCCGAGATCCATAGACTTTCTAGTTGATTCATTTGGGTGACCCAGGCCACTCTTGCAAATGAAACTCATCCCTGACTCTCTTGAATTCTCAACTGGTCACTCAGAAACAACTTGGTAATCTGGATCAAATTTGCCCCAGCCGAATGTTGTTTTGTTACAAGAGATGATGCTATTGACAACTTTTGCTTGTGACGGTTTGCTGGCAACAGTTACCGTAACATTGTTCCGAGTGCGTCACAGCCTCATCCTCCTCCACACCTCCGATTGGCATAGTTGGCTTACGTGTGGTGCGAAATAAGTTCAAAATAAACATAGCCCTAAACCCATATGGTTGACCCGTATTCTTGTACGTGGAATTTGAGTTTTCAGGTCCATACGGAGTACTCGCGTTTCAATCCGAGCAACATTTTTGTTGTCTATTTGTTTGTGTTTATCCCTTGTGATGGGACTTTGTAGGATGAACGTTGAGATATATAAGGGGCACGGGGTGACCAATAAGTTCTGAATTGGTCTGTAATAAGGTGGGGCACTGACAAGGGGTTGAGAGGTATGCACACATCAACATTCACAGCTCCTCCTCCACAGCTTCTCAACCTCCCCGTGACCCTCCCCCTCTCATCCATATGCCCCTCGTGACTCTCCCTTCCCCTCGTGACTCTCCCTCTTCCCCGTGACCCATCCTCTTCTCTTTGTCGTGATGCCTTCTCCTCCTCATCCTCTTCCTCCCCCTTCCCTCCTGTGGGTGCCCCCACTGTCTCTCCCTCCACCACGCAGAGCGGGGCGGCGTCACCTACATCCAGAACAAGCCCACCATGTACCCTCGCTGGGAGACCAAGTTCAACACCCTCCTGCACGACGAGCACCTGCTGCAGGTGGGCGCCAGCGCCATGCGTTGACGCCGCTCGTTTGCGGTGCGCGGAACCGGTAGGCTCGCCCCGGTTATGACCGTGGTTGTCACCGCCACCGCCGTCGTGATCGGCGCGCACGGCATCGTGGCGAATGTCATCGACGCTCCGAGCAGACGCTCCCCCCGGTGTTAATCCCGTGGTGTGTGTGTGCGTGCTTGCTTGCTAACGCTCCAACTTCACGCCACCCACTTCACTGCCACGTGGCAACATTTGCGAAAAATTGCTATATAGCTCAATGGATTCCTCCAGTATGAGTAAATATTCTGATTGTGAGCATCGTCTCCCCCACTACTCGTCGACTGTTCCTATCTGTGAAAACCAGCGGCGCCTTCTTCCCACAGGATCGCCCTGCGCTGCGGGTACGATGACGCCAAAACCACGTGTACTCAATTGCCATTTTTATTTAATGGTTACGAGTGTTAGGGTTGTTAACTGGTTACTAGTCTTCAGAACCAAATACTGGCTCCGGAAGTCACAAAACTGGTTACCGGTTACGTCGGCGGCATGGCTGAGCTTGTGCGGTCAAAAAACGGCCCTTGGCGCCACCTTATTGCCGAACTGGCCTCGGCGTGGCTCGGTTATGCCAGTGGAAGAACAATCTGTGCCTCCTTCCTAAGCTGGCATGGCCCTAGCGCGGCTCAGTTGTGCCAGAGCAGAGAAACCACATAGACATCAGAGCAGAGACAACCACATCGGCATCAAAGCAGAGAAACCACATCGACATCAGAGCAGAGACCACCACCTCGACATCAGAGCAGAGACCACCACATCGACATCAGAGCAGATACCACCACATAGACATCAGAGCAGAGACCACCACATCGACATCAGAGCAGAGACCACCACATCGACATCAGAGCAGAGACCATCACATCGACATCAGAGCAAAGACCACCACATCGACATCAGAGCAGATACCACCACATAGACATCAGAGCAGAGACCACCACATCGACATCAGAGCAGAGACCACCACATCGACATCAGAGCAGAGACCATCACATCGACATCAGAGCAGAGACCACCACATCGACATCAGAGCAGATACCACCACATAGACATCAGAGCAGAGACCACCACATAGACATCAGAGCAGAGACAACCACATAGACATCAGAGCAGAGACCACCACATCGACATCAGAGCAGAGACCACCACATCGACATCAGAGCAGAGACCACAACATAGACATCAGAGCAGAGACCATCACATAGACATCAGAGCAGAGACCACCACATCGACATCAGAGCAGAGACCACCACATCGACATCAGAGCAGAGACCATCACATCGACATCAGAGCAGAGACCACCACATCGACATCAGAGCAGATACCACCACATAGACATCAGAGCAGAGACCACCACATAGACATCAGAGCAGAGACAACCACATAGACATCAGAGCAGAGACCACCACATCGACATCAGAGCAGAGACCACAACATAGACATCAGAGCAGAGACCATCACATAGACATCAGAGCAGAGACCACCACATCGACATCAGAGCAGAGACCACCACATCGACATCAGAGCAGAGACCACAACATAGACATCAGAGCAGAGACCACCACATAGACATCAGAGCAGAGACCACCACATCGACATCAGAGCAGAGACCACCACATCGACATCAAAGCAGAGACCACAACATAGACATCAGAGCAGAGACCACCACATAGACATCAGAGCAGAGACCACCACATCGACATCAGAGCAGAGACCACCACATCGACATCAGAGCAGAGACCACCACATAGACATCAGAGCAGAGACCACCACATCGACATCAGAGCAGAGACCATCACATCGACATCAGAGCAGAGACCACAACATAGACATCAGAGCAGAGACCACCACATCGACATCAGAGCAGAGACCACCACATATCAGAGCGGCTCGCAGCAATGGGAAGGTGGCGAGTTAAAATATTGTAGTTGGGGTTAGGGTTAAATACACGCATCATCCTCACTCCGGGGTCAAAATTGTATCGTGGAGACGATGAATCGTAGAAATGATCGGACTGAAACAGCATCCCTATATTCATAACAAACACACAACATACTCTTTGGTTCTTTCGGTAAAGTCACGTATAGTGATCTGTTTTTTTTCTACCTACGTGATACCGAAAGAACCAAAGAGTATGGATCCTTGCGGTCACGAAAGTTTCAAATCAAGATTAAACACACAACAACAACCGCCATTCGCCACTAAGTGGCGGCGACGTCACCACCGCGCTTGTGCCCGGCTAAGTGCACTTTAAAGCCACGTGAAGTGGCCTTAACGACACACACACTGTCTCCGGTAAATGTTCTACACATCGCAGGATTGAGTATCTCGAGTTGGGGTACTGGCGGGGGGGGGGAGGTGATTGCCCCCGCTCCATCAACCGGCGCCGACTCCGCTACCCCCCCCCCCCCTTGCCCTCTGCCACCCCCCAACCCCCCACCAGGTGATCGTGATGAGCGCGGCAGGGCGGCCGATTTCCGACACCGAGGTGCCGCTCCAGTCGCTGGTGCAAAAATGCCGGAACTCCGCCGAGGGCATCGCGGAATTCTGGGTAACTGGAGCTATCGGCGAGCACAAAAAAAAATCGTGTTGTTGTTGAAAGTTGTCTTTGATTGAATAGTTTTAAAACCATTCCGCCCAGGTTAGATCCCACTTGATTGTAGCCCCCCTGTTATGCAGGAGGTTGTGGGTTGAATCCCGACCCTGACGCCTGCTGTATATTTGGAGTTTGCGCGTCTCTCTCCCCATGGTCGACGTGTGGATTTTTCTTTGGGCCCTCCGGTTTTTCCCTCCATATTTATAATCCTCATCACGCTTTTAGGGTATTTGGCTTCGATACATTCCCACACGTTGATAAGCCACTTTGCTGAGCTATCATCTGTGATAGCCAGGTCGCTTCTGAAAAAGAGCTACATAGCTCAGTGGGCCTTACCTGGTAAATAAAAACAGAAAAATTCTTGTTTTTTTTTAAATAGGACAGCCTGCATAAAATCAACACCCTACCTCAGCGATTTGCTTCGGATGTTATCTTTGGCACCCATTTCTACTGGTCTTAGATTTCGGATCGCCCTTCATAATTCCACAACAGATGGCACATCAGCCAGCCACTCGCAGGGGTCGAGACTACTTCCTCCTCCAATTTTTCAGGCATCTGAGGGGGAATTTGGACTTGGAGGCGTACGATCCAAATGTCTCCGATGGGAACACATCACTGTTGGCTCCTCAGCTTATCACAGTTTGTGATATGCCACGAAGCTCCTGATGGTCCACCCTGAACCGCATTCACCGCACAAACCGTGCCAGTAGCAGCAGATGCGGAAACCTGATGATGCACAAATGGAAAATCAAAAACTCTCCTGTAGTGTTGTGGCGTCTGTGGTCATCCAGGACAGAGACCGTAGTACAACGTGCAACGACGCAAGGACCCGATCCACAAATACGAAGGAGACATCACGGCGATGATGATGATGATACACTCACTCATCCGCTGGCTCCTGATGCGGTTATATGGGCTTGACCACCTCCAATGTAAAATTACAGTCGTTGTCTCTGCATCTATGTTTGCAGCCGTACGGAAGAAGAAGAAGCTAAGCACAAGTTGGCTAAATGTCTGGAACTGCAGTCTCTCACATACTGAGCAGGATTGCTTCAATGAGGAAGCGACTTAGAGACTGGCAAAACGGCCCCCACCCACCCATCTCCTCCTCGGTAGTTGCCGAATGGTCACGCTGCGGTAGCTGTGAGCAATGCCACCGGGGGTGGGGGGTGGAGGCCGATAGCGATCGGGCTGTTCCCCCCGTGGCACTCACAGCCACCACAGTTGCTGTGGACGGGTGCGAGGGGTTGGTGACCCCTCCACCTTCAGCCCAATCACCACTAAACCCCATGTTAAAGAACAGACAACGCAAAGGCAAAGGTCCCCCCCGTGTAGCCTTCGCAGACTGTTTGGGAAGTGCTGTTAGCGGGCACCACCTTAGAAGGTCGGAACGGCACACGAAGGGGCGGGTAGCCAGCACCACGCCCAACCGCCTTTCTCTCCCCAGTGGCGATGTTTTTACACGCCGAATCAGGTACTCATTTGAGGCTGAGTCGACCTAGGGGAGGCCCAATATCCGGTTCAGATAATTGTAACTGATGATGACCGTGAGCGGGATTCGACCTTGGGTCGCAGGGTTCGTAGCGCTGTGCGCAAACCGCTGCACCACCGCTCCCCGTACTCATTAATACTATGGCCGCCGTTCACCACGAAGCGCCAATGACGGCACCACGGCGCTTGTGCCAGGCTAGGTGCACCTGCCTGAGGCTGCGTGTAATGTCGAACGCTCACTGCCGACACGAGGGCACGGAACAGACCCAGGTGGTGCCATTGGTTAACCGACTGAGATGACTTTCAGATGCACCAGTTGTACCTCCCTGCCCCCCTGCTGTGCCAATGTTCTGCGTTTTATCTACTCGACGCTCCGCTCGTTGTTGTGAGCTCCTCCGTCCTACTGGGCAGTCGGAGGCGATGGCCTCCGACTGCCCAGTAGCGTCCTTCACGAGCCTCCTCCGCAGAGCCCAATATTGACACCGCTGGTACTCATCATTGGCAAGTCCACTTAGCTCCACATCCTCCTGTACCACATCAGTCCATCTCTTATCTAGAACACATGCCTGGCTCCTTTAGCCCCCTCTTTCCGACGAAACAAAAGCTGCTTGGGCCTGCGGACTACGTGTGTGTGTGTGTTGATGAGTGTCTTGTATGTGCGTGCTTATGTGTTCCCAGCTGGACTTGAAGCCCCAGGGCCGCGTCCTCACAACCGTGCAGTGCTTACAGGACAGTGAAGGTGAGCCTGGGAAGGACATCCACACTTAGGAATATCTACACTTATGAATAGCCACACTTGAATCTAACCTTGTGGATACGTCTAGGGTGAAGATGTGCACGTGAACACAGCGTGTCACTGTACCCTACGTTTTCTTTGTTTAGCCCTCGTGGGAAAATCGCTTTGATTGACGCCGTTTTGATACTCGTCGTCGCACCTTTTTAGGAACGCATTCCCAACTTACACCGGAGTATTGCTGTACAGGCAATCCCCTACTTCCGAACATCCACACTTACAAACGAGCGTCCATAGTATATTTTTTGAACCATCTGACTTTCGAATGCGAGCTAACACTTGCGAACCAAACCGCGAAAAGATTTGGATTGCCAAATGTACATTTGTACAATATTTATTCTTATTTATGACTTTAACGATGATTGGTTTTTCGAAGAAACACAATTTATGCCGCTGACCATTAACACATTTAAAGACAGTATATGCTTGTCCTCCGACTTACTAACAATTATTACATCGGTAGCTACGTTATGCACGTGGTCCCCTGTCGTGACGATCTAGCGCTGTGGAGGCAGTGGCGAGCGTTGGTGGATCACACAGAGACGTTGTGAAACTCCCTTCGCCCGTGGGCATCGAGGAGCCCGTACTCTGGCTCTGTCTGCAGAATGCGGAATATGGACCAATCATCATCTGTTCCAACTCCCTTCCCATGGGTGGGCGTCGATGAGGAGCCGTACCCTGGCTCTGCCAGGAGAAGGCGGTGCAGATGCAGTGACGTGCAGACTAATCTCAATACGTTCTATCTGTACGGGATATAATGTTTCCCCCTCGCATGCATGTGTGTTTTCTATCCGGGTGCTCCAGTTTCCTTGCACACGTACAAGCACTCAATCATTGCCCGATAACACCTTCATATTTAGAGGACCCCAAGCTTTGGGGGATGGGGGGCGAGGGGGCGTTGGGAATTTGGCACCAGCGCAGCACATGGCTGCTGCTGCTACCTCCCTACTTGTCTGTGGTTCCTCCTCCTGCGCCTCTCTCTAAGACAGCGATAAGCGTTGGTGGTAGTGTGGCGTTACTATTAGACTCTTTTTTTTAGCAGGTGATACCCCACTGAGCTATGCAGCTCTTTTTCAGAAGCGACCCTGGATATTGCAAATGACAGTAGCTCGACGAAGTGGCTTATCGTCATCACGTGGAAATGTATAGCAGCCAAATACTTTTAAATACGCGATGTTGATGCTAAATCTGGAGGAAAAAAAAACAGATGAGCTGGAGAAAAATCCACGTGACCATGGGGCGAGAGAAACATGCAAATTACAAATACAGCATGCGGCGAGGTCGGGATCGAGCCCATGACCTACTGCATACCCGGCGAGGTAGTTAACATCCACTGCTGCCATCCAGCAGTGGATTGACATTGACCAATGATGAAGATGACGATGATGACGATGATGATTATTTGTTTCCTGGACATCCTACGAGGGACGCACACACCGGGCTTTTGCCGAACGGTGACGCGGCAACCGGGCGGAAATGGGAGCGTGGTTTTGTAATGCGTGGAAAGTTAACTGATGTGAACATTTCAACTGAAAACATCGACCCATGATGTACAACTACAGGGTCGTTCTCATTACATGCAAAGTGCTTGCTGATCTCGTCAAGGAGTGTAAACCATAACCACGCGAACTCCTGCCACCCTCGCAGCAGCAGCGGCTTTTAGCTAACCGTCTGGAACGAAGACGGCCGTCTGGAACGCTTTTACTTCTGATATTATAAAGCCACTGCGAGCTATGCACTTCTAAATCATCATCTAGATTGAAAACTAATTTCTTTCCAACTGTCTTTTTGTGTATTTAGTTTATTGACCTTCCCCGCACCTCTGATTAGCGCGGTTGGCTACGTACAGTGCGAAAGAAGTTCTCGCATACAACACATACACGCAGACCCGGCTACCCACACCCCCTGCTTGGAGAATGCATGGGATTCTGTTTCTCGAGTCGAAGCCTCGGAAAATCCGATGCAAAATTTACTGATAGGGCTGTTTGTTGCTGGTGGCTTGACGTTTTGGGCCTATTGGTGTTGTGTGTGTATGCTGAGCAATTAAGTTTGAATTTAAAAACAAAACACGCCTTGGGCACGGATAATGGAATGTTCCACCTTCATCCATGCCTGACGCCCACAGCCACCACAAGCCTGGACTGTACCACTTTGCGTTGGGGCTTTATTGTTGTTGTGTGGTTTGGAAAAAATAATCTTCAGAGCGTATCAAACTCGAGTCCCCTGACAAGTTATCTCCACGCGCGCACACACGTCTATACCACTGATATTTCGGGTTATGCCGGCACGTAGCGATGTCCCGGCCACGTTTGTGTCGTAAGACCCCTCCACCACCCGACGCAGCCAAAGCGAATTGAATTTCCACGTGGTGCACGAAGAGGTGTGTAATGATGCGTGTCATTTGTTATTATCGTTTCGGATCAACTCACCCACTCAGTCACAAACTCACACACTCACCCACTCACTCAATCGCCCACCCACTCACACACTCACCCACTCACTCAGTCACACACTCACTCACCCATTCAATCACCCCCTCACTCAGGCACACACTTACACGCTCACTCACTCACTTATGCACTCTCCCACCCACCCACTCACCTATTGTCCAACCCACACCACCGTCGCTTCCCCGAATCATAGCGAAACGCACTTTCTCCCCGGCGGTGCCCGTGGCATTCAACCCCCCCACCTCGTCCCCTCCCACTCCAACCAACGACATAAACAACGCAACACCTTGAGGAAATCTTGCCGGCGGTGCAACATTCAAACTTGGTTCAGCCAAACCCCATCTCTACCCAGCCAGACCCCATCTCTACCCAGCCAGACCCCATCTCCACTCAGCCAGACCCCATCTCCACCCAGCCAGACCCCATTTCACCCAGCCAGACCCCATCTCCACTCAGCCAGACCCCATCTCCACCCAGCCAGACCCCATTTCACCCAGCCAGACCCCATCTCCACTCAGCCAGACCCCATCTCCACCCAGCCAGACCCCATCTCCACCCAGCCAGACCCCATCTCCACCCAGCCAGACCCCATCTTCACCCAGCCAAACCCCATCTCCACTCAGCCAAACCCCATTTCCACCCAGCCAGACCCCATCTCCACCCAGCCAGACCCCATCTCCACTCAGCCAGACCCCATCTTCACCCAGCCAGACCCCATCTCCACCCAGCCAGACCCCATCTCCACCCAGCCAGACCCCATCTCCACCCAGCCAGACCCCATTTCACCCAGCCAGACCCCATCTCCACTCAGCCAGACCCCATCTCCACCCAGCCAGACCCCATCTCCACCCAGCCAGACCCCATCTCCACCCAGCCAGACCCCATCTTCACCCAGCCAAACCCCATCTCCACTCAGCCAAACCCCATTCCCACCCAGCCAGACCCCATCTCCACCCAGCCAGACCCCATCTCCACTCAGCCAGACCCCATCTTCACCCAGCCAGACCCCATCTCCACCCAGCCAGACCCCATCTCCACCCAGCCAGACCCCATCTCTACTCAGCCAGACCCCATCTTCGCTCCGACAGACCCCATCTTCACAACAAGCAACAATCTGCCCCTGCGGCGCCATTGGCATCGTCACATTGCGAAGGCCACAAGTTTTCACTCTCTCTCTCGTTATTTACGTAGATATACTCTTTTTTAATTTTTGATTCGTGGTGTAAAGTCTTGGGGATTTTGTTTTTGTACCATCCATCTAAGGGCCAATTCACGTAGCAGCATTTTGGGATGCAATTGCATGAATAACGCTAGCGAAAATGACAATATTATTACTATTCTAAGTTGTCTTGCTTTGAGCCCACGTGGCACAGAAAGACATAACTGTCACCCCCGTATCAGTGCCCCACCTTATTACAGACCAATTCTGACCTTATTGGTCAACCCGTGTCCTTATAAATCTGAATGGTCATCCTCCAAAGTCCCATGACAAGGGAGAAACACAAACAAATAGACAAAACATAATAAGTTTGCCCGTATTGAAACGGCTGTACGCAACATGGACCTGAAAACTCAATTTCCCTATACAAGAATACGGGGTAAACCGTATGGGCCGACAGGTATGGGAAACGCGAGGGCGATGCCACGCGGCTCTCCCCATTTACGTAAACACGAATAACATGAAAAAAAGAAAACCACCCCAACAGCTCTGGCTGGGGACCTGCGGACGCGTGGCCCCTTGTGATAGAGCCCGAAGGGGTTCTGATATTTTCCGAAAGGCGTTGAGATAAGACGGTGGTTGTGCATGCGTGGGTGGGTTAGGGGCGGGGTGGGGGTTAGGGGGGTAATGGGGGGGGGGGGGGTGCTGGCGATGGTGGTGGTTTTTGTGGTTTTGCGTAAGTGCGCGTGTGTGTGCGTGCATGTGTGCATGCGTGTACGTGTGTACGTGCGTGTGTGTGCATTTTGGTTTGTGTTCTGGGTGCTGTGGCCTGTTCTGCAAACGACTGATAAGAGACGTGGCCAGAGCCTGGGAGTGGCTCTGAGGCCATTAAGGACATCATTTTCCGAGTTCAACAATAATACTAGTCGTAGTAGTAATAAATAATAAATAATTGTGAATATATATATTCATTAGAAATAAAAACAAAATTTGTATTTCCCAAAAACACTATTGGGAACCGTTGGCGTGGGCGTGTGCTCGGTGGTGGTGGTGATAGTGATGATGGTGGTGATGGTGGTGGTGATGATGATGGTGATAGTGGTGGTGATGGTGGTGTTGGTGCGGACGATGATGCTGCTGCTGCCGTGAGGTGGCTCTAGGGGTGTTAAACGGTCATACAGGTGGGGACTGCCGATCCCTAGACGGTAAAGCAGTGGTCATGCCTGAGCCTCGCAGTCTAGAAGGAGCCTGGGTTCGATTCCTGACTCGGGTGCCACTGGTGTTGAGTGTGTCAGTGTGTGTGTGTCACACACACACTCTCTGCTCATGATCATTAAGGACCTTCATGATGGTGAGCGGGCTCGGGTAAAACTACGTGGCCGGGAGTCGGAGCCATTCCCTATTCACCTTGGGGTGCGACAGGGATGTCCTCTGGCTCCTTAACATGTATTTCGACCACGTAGTTCGTGAACCCTTCGATGGCTGTACCAGAGGAATTTACATCTGGTACAAATACAATGGGAGGCTGATCGATGCCTATTCGTCAACCATGTTATGTATGCCGATGATCTGGTAATTGCTGCTCACTCAGAGGAAGATTTGGAGGCGCTGCTGCTGAACCTGAAGCTTGCCACTAAGAGGTGGGGCCTTACCATCAGCCCCACCAAAACTAAGCACCTGCCTGGGTGTTTTGTAACCATCAGACACTCCACCCTCACCACTCCCAATTGGTGATGGGGCAGTTGTGGAGAGAGTTGATAGTTTCCCATACCTGGGATATGTGCTCATGACCGGCTTCGGTTTGACAGCAGAGGTCTCATTCCGAATCAGTCGAGCAGCATTATCTTTCATCGGTTGCGTAACGCTGTGTGGAAACTACCTGGTCTGTCGCTCCGCACAAAGCTTCAGGTCTTCTCGGCCACAGTCATTCCCTCCCTTCTCTACGCTTGCGAAACGTGGACCCCCCTAATGGAACATCTTCGCCGGTTAGAAACATTTAGGCTGGCCTGCCTACGATCCATCCTGGGTTTAACCAAGTTGGATTGTGTGAGGAGCTCACAAATCCTTGAAAGATCTGGACAAAGTCCCATCGGTGAGCTCCTCCGGCAGGCAAGGCTGCGTTGGCTGGGTCATGGAACCCGCATGCCCAGCCACCGCATGCCTAAACAGCTTTTGTTCGGCCCGATAGAGGGGGCTAAACGGGCTAGAGAAGAGATGGAGTGATGTGGTACAGGAGGATGTGGAGCTGAGTGGACTTGCCGATGACTGGTACCAGCGGTGTCAAGATCGGCTTCTGTGAAGGAGGCTCGTAAAGGATGCTACTGGGCAGTTGGAGGCAGTCGCCCTCCAACAACAACGGAGGGTGGAAAGGAGCGACGCTCACAACAACGAGCGGCACAGGTGGTGTATCGGCCAGTCATCTCAGTCAGTCGACCCGTGGCACCTGGGTCTGCCCCGTGACCTCCTGCCGGCGGGCGTTCGACACTTCACGTGGAATCAACGTGCACATAGCCTGGCACAAGCGCCGTGGTGACGTCACCGCAACTTAGTGGCGAATGGCGGTTGTTGTTGTGTATCACTGTGAGTACGGGGAGTGGTAGTGGAGTGTTTTAGCGCCCTGCGGTACGAACCCGGAGACCCGAGTACGATTCCCGCTCACTGACACCAACACCATCCATGACGATTTTCTGAACTGGTCCTGGGCCTCCCTTACGTCGACTCAGCCTCACATGTGTATCTGGTGCGATGTGTAAAAACATTGCCACTAGGGAGACAAAGGCGGCCGGGCGTGGTGCTGGCCATCCACCCCATCGTGTGCTGTACCGGCCTTCGTGGGTGCTGCCCGCTATCAGCACTTGCCCCAACAGTCCGTTGAGGCTACACGGGGATCTTTGTGTTTTGCGCTTGGAGTGTGTACGTCTCTCTCTCTGCCCTTGTTCCGCAATGCGTTTCCTCTGGCTTCTCCACTTTCCGCCTCCCCCACAGCCAAACAATTATTCTAAGCGCTGAAATCGCAGCCGCAGATTGCTCAATGGGAATCACACGCAGCAGCAGAAATGTTGCCTTCCGACTGAGAAAAAACTTAGTAGCATCCCTCCCGAGATAGAGTGTGCCGGATAAACAAGCAGAATAATTGTAATAACACGAAACTATGGTATTTTTATTTTACCAGGTCAAGGCCCAATGTAGCTCTTTTTTCAGAAGCGAATCGGCTTTTCGTCACGTGGAAATTTATAGCAATAGCCAAATACTCTGATCGCGTGATGTTGATGACTTAATGTGGAGGGAAAAACCGAAAGGACCCAGAGAGACGCGCAAACTCCAAATATACAACAGGCGTCAGGATCGGGATCGAACCCATAACCTCCTATATATCAGGTGAGGTAGTGTGTGTTGGTGTGCGTGTTAATGGGGAGCGGTGGCGTAGCGGTTAGCGCGCTGCACTACGAACCTGGCTTTCCGGAGTTAAATTCCCGCTCACGGCTAACACCAGTGACGATTATCTGAACCAATCCTGGGCCTCAAATGAGTACCTGATGTGGTGTGTAAAACATCACCATCGGGAAGACAAAGGCGACCGGGCGTGGTTGCTGGTCACGCACCCCCTCAAGCTGCTCGCGAACGGCACTTACCCCGACAGTCTCTGAAGGCTACGTGGGGGGGGGGGGGGATCTTTGTCTTTCGCAGATGAAAGCGCGCGAGCAGAGGCCCGCGGGCCGCTCAAGAAGCGCCGCGGCGCCATCAAGCAGGCCAAGGTGCACCACGTCAAGGGCCACCAATTCACCGCCACCTTCTTCCCACAGCCCACGTTCTGCTCGGTCTGCAAGGAGTTTGTGTGGTGAGTGTGGGTGTGAGCGTTTGGGTGAATGGGTGGGTGAGTGTGAGAGAGTTGTAGGGGAGCGGTAGTGTAGTGGTTAGCGCGCTGCACTATGAACCTGGCGACCCGGGTTCGATTCCCGCTCAAGGCCAACACCAGTGACGATTATCTGAACCGGTCCTGGGCCTCCCCTAGGTCGACTCAGCCTCAAATGAGTACCTGGTGTGACGTTTAAACATCGTCATTGGGGAAACAAAGGTGGCCGGACGTGGTGTTGTTCACCCACCCCCTCGTATGCAGTACCGGCCTTTATAGGTGCTTGCTAACGGCGCTTGCCCCTACAGTCTGTTAAGGCTACACGGGGGATCTTTGTATTTGTGTATGGATGAGTGTGGATGAGTGTGGGTGAGTGGACAAATTCCACATATACAGCAGCAAGCGTCTCCAGGGTTGAGATTGAACCCACGACCTCCTGCAACCAAGGCGACGTAGTTAACTTTTCTGAACAGGATCCTCTGCCCATGCCTACTTTGACTCGTCCTTAAACCCAAAACACCGAGTACACTGTACGGTATTTTAAGTAAAGCACCCGAGTGGACCTAGAACGATGAGTCAGGGTGGGCGCGTTGTGTCTGTGCTGGGTGTGCTCCTCACGCGGCCGTGCGTCTCTCTCTGTCCCGCAGGGGCCTCAACAAGCAAGGCTACCAGTGCCGAGGTGAGCTCCACACCCACCACAGTTCGTGCGTACCTTATACCTGCGTACGTACATCCGTATCTACCTGCGTACCTGCGCACCTACCTACCTGCGTACTTGCATAGAGGTTGTTTTTGGGTTAGAGCGCATAAATAACAATGTATCATGGCCTCCTTTTTGGCCAGTATCAAAGTATGAAAAGTAAGAATAGGTCCAAATTAGCGTTCTTTTGGGTTAGATCGCGTAAATATATAAATGTGACGTTAAAACCCGCTACCACCCGACACAGCCAACTAGTAAGGGTTGTCATATAAACAGAACACGTCAATTCGTCATTAGTACAGCACACCGGTGTATTGGAGAGCCAAGCCACAACATTTACAATCTGAATACGACATTTCGCCAGTAATTACTACGAGCTTCATCAGGCGACAGCCAGATTTGTGGAGAAGTCCACCTGTTTTGTTCCTTATACAGAGGCATAGATATAATGAGCACCATTGTCTTTTGTTGTGTGTGAGTGAGAAGCAGTGCTGTAGCAGTTAGCGCGCTGCACTACAAACACGGCCACACGAGTTCGAATCCCGCTCACGGTCAACACCGGTGACGATGATTTGAACGGGTCCTGGGCCTTCCCTATGTCGACTCAGTCTCAAAATGAGTACCTGGTGCAGTGTGCAATAAATATTGCCACTGGGGAGACAAAGGCAGCCGGGCGTGATGTTGGCCATCCACCCCCTCAAGAGCCGTGCCGGCCTTCATAGATGCTGCTATTCGCGAACAGCAATTGCCCCAACAGTCTGTTAGGGCGATATGGGGGATCTTTGTTTTTGTGTATATTGTTTTACATGTGATTTAGTGGTTATTCAGATGAAGGAAGAGGGGTTACTAGCCCCTTGAGCGCCACGAGGTGCATCATCGTCAATAAATCTCTGCTGTTAAGAACCCCCCACCACCTGACGCAGCCAAAACTAATGAAATAGTTTGTGTGTCTGTGTGGGTCATGGGGAAGTTGTGGAGAGTTTATCATACCTGGGCGGTATGCTCATGACTGGCTCCGGTTTAACAGCAGAGGTCTCACTCAGAATCAGTCGAGCGGCATTATCTTTTCATCGGTTGTGTAACGCTGTGTGGAAGCTACCTGGTCTGTCGCTCCGCACGAAGCTTCAAGTCTTCTCGGCCACAGTCATTCCATCCGTTCTCTACGCTCGCCGGTTAGAAACATTTAGGCTGGTCTGCCTACGATCCATCCTGGGTTTAACCAGGCTGCATTGTGTGAGGAGCTCACAAATCCTAGAAAGATCTGGGCAAAGTCCCATCGGTGAGCTCCTCCAGCAGGCAAGGCTGCATTGGCTGAGTCATGTAGCCCGCATACCCAGTCACCGCATGCCTTAACAGCTTTTGTTCGGCCGTATAGAGGGGGCTAAACAGGCGCGGCACGGGCTAGAAAAGAGTGATGTGGTACAGGAGGATGTGGAGCTGAGTGGACTTGCCGATGACTGGTATCAGCGGTATCAAGATCGGCCTCTGTGGAGGAGGCTCGTGATGGACGCTGCTGGGCAGTGGGAGGCAGTCGCCTTCCAACAGCAACGGAGAGTGGAGGAGCGATGCTCACAACAACGAGCGGAGTGCCGGGTGGCTAAAGCACAGCAAGTTGGCACAGTAGGGGCACAGGTGGTACATCAGCCAGTCATCTCAGTCATCTCAGTCAGTCGACCCGTGGCACCTGGGTCTGCCCCGTGACCTCCTGCCAGCGGGCATTCGACACTTCACGTGGCCTCAAAGTGCACATAGCATAGCACAAGCGTCGTGGTGAAATCACCACCACTTAGTGGCGAATGGCGGTTGTTGTTGTTGTCTGTCTCCAAGAATGCAATGCAGCGATTCACAAGCGCTGCATCGACATTGTACTGGCGAACTGCACGGGCTCAGCGGAGAACAGCAGCGAAACTCAGGTGAGCAATGGGCAGGTGAGCAACGGGCAGGTGAGTGACACCAAGGCGAGGGACACTCAGGTGAGCGACGCACATGAACCGTCCAGTGCGGGCCTCGTGTGACGATGACAAACGATGACGATGGCGGCGAAGATGACGATGGCGATGACAATGGCGATGACAACGATAACAATGGTGATGACAATGGCGATGACGACGATGACGACGATGGCGATGACAATGACGACGATGATTATGGCAATGATGATGACGACGACGATAACAATGATGACAATGATGACGATAATGACGATGATGGCGATGACGATGGCGACAACGATGACAACGACGATGACGACGATGGCGACGACGATGATGACGATATCAGTGGTGCCGATGGTGACGACGATGATGACGATGATGTCGGTGGTTCTGGAGATCGCGATGTTGACATTGGCATTGTTGTTGATACTAGTGTAGTAAGTATATGGAGGCTTGACGACAGGATCGGAGGCACACTTATTTATTACACCAACACAGTTATTTACAGGTCACTGGGCTACAGGGATTTCTCGACAGCTAACCCCTCTAACCTATACCAATTCCTCCACTACGGGACTAGGGGAGGCTATCTGTCCCAGCTTGGTTAAGCTGGGATCCCGGCTCCCTGAGTCACCAGACCAGCTTCGTCTGGGCTCTCGGGGCCACGCCACCGGCTTGCCCTGGTCGGCCCTTATAAGGACAGCGAGCCAGGGGAGCTCTGGGGCCTACACTAGCTGGTCTTCCGTCTTCTCTGGTTATAGCTGAGTCCCGACTCCCGAGCCTTTCGGCTCATCACCTTTTATAGGACTTGCCCCCAAGGGGGGGGCCCGTGGGGGATACACATGCGGACGTCGGTGCGAGCGCCACCCTTGTGTACGGCCGTAACCCCGCCCCTTGTGTTTGTTGGCCATCCGTGGCCATGCATAATCACACCTCAACATTCGTAGACATGCGCAATTACACCTCTACATCACCCCCCCCTGTACAGCTCGCAGCCGTCCCCGGCTGCAAAAAAAAAAATCAGAATAAAGGTGCATCCCTCACAAAAACCCCGTGTGTGCCTCGCGTAATTTTTAACAAGAACAAGAAAACTTCAACAAGAACAACGAGAGGAAGAGAGAGAGAGAGAAAAAAATAACCCGACGCACCCCCCCCGGATAACACCCCAAAACCAACATATATATACACTCCGGACGTCACCTTTCCCATCGTCCGCAAGGCCCCCCAACGGCCGACCTCACAACACCCCTCCCCTTTTGTCCGCAAGGCCCCCCAACGGCCGACCTCACAAAAGTCTGCGCGTTTTGGCGCGCGTTCTCGCGGCGGGTCCGTCACAAGGGCCCGTCCCGGCACGCTCAGTGACGGTTGTTGACGGTCCGGGTGCAAGAGGGTCAGGCTCCGCTGCCGAGTGACCCCCGACCCCTCCGGGAGGGGTTGGTGGGCGTGGGCCCGTCACTCCTGTTTCACCTGGGGACGGAACAGTTGGCGTCAGGTTAGGCGAGTGCAGCGACGACGGGGAGTCGGCGACACCCTCACACGTTTGGCCATGCGTGTGTGTGTGTGAACCCCGGGGCGGCGTGACGAATGGTTTTAACCTTGAGGGGTGCACATACCACCGGCGCCTCCCCCATTTGACGCGAACACATTGCGGCCGCAAAACCTGCACGACCTCCACTGGCCCCCGCCACGGCCGTACCAATTTCGACGAGGTTGCCAGCGGCACCTGAGGACAGTGCAACCACGCCCTGTCCCCTGGTTCCCATTTGACCACCTGCACCCGCCCCAACCGAAGCCTCTCGTTCGCCTTCTGGCGGAGTTCAGAATTTTGCACGGCCGCTTCCCGCGCCTCAGACAATTGAGCGATGTTAAATTTAACGTGTTCGGACAAATTAGACTTCGCCTGGAGCGCCGAGAGCTTCAGCTGGGTCGCCACAGGAGGGTTAACTTCGCGCCCATACATTAAAAAGAAAGGGGAAAATCCGGTGGCCGCATGGGGAGCCATTCTGTAGGCCTGCAACACACCGGCTATGCGGAGGTCCCAATCCGTCTGGGATACCGACACCTGCTGGGACAGCATGGACGTGATGGTCCGATGCAGCCGTTCCACCATCCCGTCAGTTTGTGGGTGATACGGAGAGGTCCGAACCTTCTCCGTACCCAAGAGGTCGCACACCTCACGTAGGAGTTTACCAGAAAAATTCCTACCCTGGTCAGTAAGCAGCCGTTCCGGAGCACCCTTGTCGAGGACATAGCCCTGGACAAAGGCCTCCGCGATGGCTGCTGCCGACTGGTTCGCCAGGGGCCAGGCCATAGGCCATCTCGTGAAGTATTCAACCCCCGTTAGTAAATACCTATTGCCCCTGGGTGTAGCGGGAAATGGGCCAAGTATGTCCAGAGCGACGAGCTCGTTAACCCTGGAAACTTTTATGGACTGCAGCGGAGGGTTGGACCCCCTAGCAGGTGGCTTCCTCTGCGCGCATTGCGTGCACGACCCCAAGAGGTCCCCCACGTCCTTTTCCATGCCCGGCCAGAAGAAATCTAGCTGGAGCGTGGCAAAGGTCTTATGAACCCCCAAGTGCAGAAGCCGCTCATGAACAGCCCATACCACCTTACCCCTTAAAGCAGCAGGCACCACGAGCCGCTGGCGCCGGGTTTTACCATCCCAGTGCATTAAAAGTCCCTGGAACAACCCCCACGAGTCAACGTTTTCCACCCCCTGGCCAATCCCCCCGGCGCGACGGCGCAGAGCGAGGAGGGAGGTGTCCTCCATTTGGAGGCGACCCCATTCCGCGACTGACAACCCCAGCAACGAATCCCTCCCTTCTTGCTCGATAGGACCCGAAACCGAAGGTGCATCGGCAGCGGCCACGAGGACCGAATCGGTGGTGACGTTCGGAGACCTACAACGCCCCGAACCCAAGAGGCACGCGCACTCCGAAGTGGGTGGCAATCGCGATAGGGCGTCAGCGTTCGTGTGGCGGAGACCCTTACGATATGTGGTGACAAAGTCATAGTCTTGGAGAATCTCCAACCATCGAGACAACTGGCCCGATGGTTGTTGAACCCGCAGGGCGTATTGTAGGGCCGCATGATCTGTACGGACGGTGAACCGCCGACCGTACAGATACGGGCGGTACTGCTGAATGAAATAAACAATCGCCAATAATTCCCGACGGGTAACGCAGTACCGCTGTTCGGCTGGAGACAGTACCCGACTACCGTAAGCCACCACATGCTCTACGCCCCCAATGAGCTGGGACAGCACGCCCCCGATGCCCGTGTTACTTGCATCTGTATCGAGCAAGAAGGGTTGTGAAAAATCCGGGTAATTCAACGGCGGAGCCCCCACCAAAGCATTCCGGAGGGCGCGAAAAGAAGCCTCCTCCTCCGGCCCCCAATGAAACCTGACTCCCTTGGACGTCAAGGCATGCAAAGGTTTCGCAATCGTAGCGAAGTCAGCCACAAATCGCCGATAATACGACGCGAACCCAATGAAACTCCTGACCTCTCCCACAGAGGTGGGAGTCGGCCAGGAGCTGACGCATTCCGTTTTGGCGGGATCAGTGGATATCCCCGAGCGCCCAACAATGTGACCCAAATATCGCACCGATTCGCGAGTAAATGGCACTTCTGTGGTTTAAATTTCAAATTGGCAGCCCGCATTTTGAGAAAAACAGCACGCAACCTCTGGAGGTGTTCCTCGAAGGATTTGCTAAAGACGATGACATCGTCTAAGTAAATCAAACACGAATCCCATTGCAACCCTGCCAAGACCAATTCCATTAACCGCTGAAAAGTTGCCGGCGCAGAATGTAAACCCATCGGCAAGCGGTTAAATTGGAAGAGACCCTGCGGTGTCCGAAAAGCGGTCTTAGGTTTTGATTCGTCATCCAGAGGAAGCTGCCAGAATCCAGATAGCAAATCGAGGGTGGAAAAGAATCGCGCCCCCGCCAAGGCATCGAGCGACTCATCCATTCGAGGAAGCGGGTACGCATCTGCCACAGAGATTTTGTTCAGACGCCGAAAGTCGACACAAAACCGCAGTGAGCCGTCGTGTTTTTTCACCAAAACGATCGGCGCGCCCCACGGGCTATTGGAAGGGGAAATGATATCGGCGGCTAGCATGTCATCAACAGCCGATTTGACATGATCCTTTTCGGCGGGACTCAACCGAAAGGGATTTTGGCGGATTGGCGCGCTGTCACCCGTGTCAATATGGTGTCGCAGCAATTTAGTACAACCAATATCAAATTTGTGTTGACTAAAAACGTCAGCAAATTCGCTCAGAAGAACTCGCAGCTGCGCGCGCTGCGAGTTGGACAGGTCCACTGAACCCGCGCAAAGCGCATCCAGCCAACCGTCATCACAGTCCGAATGCGGTCGCGGCGGAGGATCGGTGGATACCTGACCCACGAGTGGTTCCTCATAGGGTACCGGCGTTGCGTGTGCAAGCACGGTCCCTTGAGGAACCACGGCCGTTCGCGATCCCACATTAAGGACTGCAATGAAGGGGTCCCCATCCCCTCTCACCATGGTCTGAGCCGCGAGCAAATCTGGTCCATTTACCCCGGCCCGAGATGGTCCCAACAAGACCCCCCGATCCGCAACCCCTTCATTAAACGGCCGACACAACCTAAGAGGGACGAGCATCTGAGCCCCCGGAGGCACGCGCACAGTTTTTGTGACGAGCGCCTGCACGGTGGCAAACGCCCGACGCTCCGTGGTGGGGGAAGACAGAAATGTAACGCGTCGGCCCGATGGGAGCTCAATGCACCCTTGGTCAATAAGGATGCGGATGGGCATTTTGGCCAGAAAATCCGTCCCCAACAGGCACGGAACCCCGAGTGAGGAGGAAACCAAAACAGGCCCGGATAATTTAATGTCCCCAATGCAGATAGTGGCGCGGATTTGGCCAATAATGCCCAGAGAGCCCCCGTTAGTGGCATAGCACGGCACGTCAACAGGGAGCAAGGGACGACTTTGAACGGGAAGGATGTTATAAATTAAATCAGATATAATGGTCGCCGATGCCCCTGTGTCAATTAAAATCCGCACCTCTACCCCATCAATGTGACCGACCACGACCGATGATCCCGCCGACGCAGCAACGACACGATGGGCGAGCTCCGACCACTGACCCGGTTGGAGCGCCCGCCGCATTACCGAACAATCGCGCGCGACGGATGGGGAATTTGGAGCCCTGTTTAGTTGGGCGCGTGAGTGTGTGTCGGATGTGTGCGTGGGCCAAACGTGTGAGGTGCCGCGACTCGCCGTATTTCTCTGCTGGAGCTTGGGAGGAGACGGCGTGGTGTCCTGACGAGGTGTCGCCCCGCGCTGACGGGGAGCCCGGCATCCTGACGCAACGTGGCCTTGCAGGCCACAGTTGTAGCAGCGTGTGAGCGTCCCCGATGTCCTGGGCTGCTCCTGGCGGCTCGGTCCATTCCGAGCCTGTGGTACTGCCGCTCTCCATTCCCCTCGCCGCTCCACCCCGCAGACCTTCTCCGATGGGAGGGCGGTAGCCGCCATGGCATGGCTGGCCGCCCCCTTTGCCGCCTTTCGACGAAGGGACCGCAAGCCCCCGTGGATGTGGCGCGCGACCAGCAGGGACGACATCTCTGAGTCGTCTTGAGCCAGGACGTTGACGTCCAGCTCATCAGCGAGTAGCAGCAGCTTCTCAGCCACCATGGCATCCACTCCTTCCTCGTCCATCCTTGGGAAAGCAGCCTTCGCTAGAGCCAGGAGAGCAGTCCGGAAGGCCAGAGGTGATTCGTTGGTGCCCCGACGCCGATCGTGGAAAAGCTGCCTGCAGTCCGAAGGCGGCCCATAGACGGCTGACAGCAGCTGCAACGCCAGGTGTAGGGTGGCGCGCTTTTCCCTCGGCGCCGAGGTGAGGGTAGCCAGGGCGTCGTTGTCCAGCATCGCTGGCAGCGCGCGTAGAGCCTCGGCGTCCGTCCAGTTCGCCATCTCCTGATGAGCGATGAACCGTCTCTTGAAGCCGCCCCAGTCTCCGTCTGCGCCTACGAATTCTTTCAGAGGCGGCAGACGCTGCTGCAAGGCGACGTCCGTGGCTGTAGATCGCTCTCCGTCGCTCCCCGCCGATGATACAGTGTGGGCGGGCTGTGCACATGGCATCGCCGGTCGCTCCGATGTCGACGCGCCGGCCGGTGTTGATGATGTCACGGCTTGTGCTTGGCGCTCAGCAGTCACGTGACGCGGGCCGGCCCCGCCGTCCGCTCGCACTGTAGAGATGGCGGGAAATTTAACCGCCAGCCGCGTCGGGGTGGCGGGAAACGTCGCCGCGCGCCGGCTGCTGTCGTCGACCCGCGCTGCCCCTCCAGCCCCCAGCCGCGTGATCTCCTCCAATGCAGCGGCGGCGGCGTAGAGCAGTTCCGCCAGGCGGGAGTGGGCCAGCCGGAGTCCTTCAGCCGACGCATCCCCCCCCTCTTGTCGTAGCGGCACGGGCGTACTTGGCCCCGGCTGCTCCGATCCGACCCCGGCCATCTCTGGTGTTGAATCGGCCGCGGCGTCTTCCATCTCCGACTCCTTGGTACGTGTCGTCCCTCGTGTGTCCATCGTTTGGACGTTTTACTTCTGACACCAGATGTAGTAAGTATATGGAGGCTTGACGACAGGATCGGAGGCACACTTATTTATTACACCAACACAGTTATTTACAGGTCACTGGGCTACAGGGATTTCTCGACAGCTAACCCCTCTAACCTATACCAATTCCTCCACTACGGGACTAGGGGAGGCTATCTGTCCCAGCTTGGTTAAGCTGGGATCCCGGCTCCCTGAGTCACCAGACCAGCTTCGTCTGGGCTCTCGGGGCCACGCCACCGGCTTGCCCTGGTCGGCCCTTATAAGGACAGCGAGCCAGGGGAGCTCTGGGGCCTACACTAGCTGGTCTTCCGTCTTCTCTGGTTATAGCTGAGTCCCGACTCCCGAGCCTTTCGGCTCATCACCTTTTATAGGACTTGCCCCCAAGGGGGGGGCCCGTGGGGGATACACATGCGGACGTCGGTGCGAGCGCCACCCTTGTGTACGGCCGTAACCCCGCCCCTTGTGTTTGTTGGCCATCCGTGGCCATGCATAATCACACCTCAACATTCGTAGACATGCGCAATTACACCTCTACACTAGCATTGTTGTTGACGTTGGCGTTGTGTTGATCTTGGCGTTGTTGTCAACATTGGCGTTGTTGACGTTGGCGTTGTTGTCGCCATTGGCGTTGTTGTTTAACGTTGGTGTTGTTGTTGACGATGCTGATGGCGCTGTCTCAGATCATGAAGGAGCGCTTCAAGCTGGATGTCCCCCACCGCTTCCGCGTAAACTCCTACATGAGCCCCACGTTCTGTGACCACTGCGGCACGCTGCTGTGGGGCCTGGCTCGCCAGGGCCTGAAGTGCGACGGTGAGATAAACTAAACACTCAAGGATGCTTTATTTCACCAGGTAAGGCCCACCGAGCTATGTATTCTTTTGTCAGAAGCGACCTGGCTATCACAAATTATAGCTCAACAGAGTGGCTTATCATGATCACTTGAAAATATTGCAGCAGCCAAATACTCTAAAACACGATTCTAAATGTGGAGGGGAAAACCGGATCCGGAGAAAAATCCACATGACCACGAGGAGAGAGACACGCAAACTCCAAATATACAGCAGGGGTCAGGATCGGGATCGAACCCACGACCTCCTGTATACCATTCGAGGTAGTCAACATGTCGCCAGATAGGCAGGGGTGGGGCACTGCTGCCAGCCAATTGGAGAGAGTGAGGGGGTGCAGCACCACACGGCTCTCTCAGTCGGGTCATCCGGTTTTTCCCTCCACATTTAGAATGAACAGAATCAACAACAAACGTTTGGCTGAAAAAATAATTCCACATAATGATGATAAGCCGCCACTTCATAGGGCTATCATATGTGACAGCCAGGTCGTTTCTGAAAATGAGCGACATAGCTCGGTGGGCCTTACCTGATAAAATAAAAATTGTTTGTAGTTAAGTTAGTTAAACCACATCCTCTGTCTGTGAAACACAACCACATCCTCTGTCTATGAAACACAGCAACGCCCTGCGTTGTAAGTACGATATTGATGATGCTGGTGATGTTGCTGGTGATGTTGGTTGTCTTTGTGTACAGAGTGTGCCATGAATATCCACCACAAGTGCAAGGGCAAGGTCGCAAATCTGTGCGGCATCAACCAAAAGCTCATGGCAGAGGCCCTCGCTCAGATAGAAGCTCAGCAACAGGTATGTGGAGGAGGGACACGGACAGAGACGCGACACAGATGGAGAGACACAGACATGGAGACACAGAGAGACGCAGATACACGGTTAGACACAGACAGATAGACAGAGATAACGAGACAGACAGATTGATAGAAAGACAGAAAGATAGAAGGACACATACAAAGAGACACGGACAGAGACATGGAGATACAGAGAGAGATGCAGAGAGACCATCAGGGGGTGGGTGGCCAACGCCACGCCCGGCCGCCTAGTGGCGATGTTTACACCAGGTACTCATTTCAGGCGGAGTCGACTTAGGGAAGGTCCTAGACCAGTTTAAATAATTGGTGGCCGTGAGTGGGAATCCAACTCGGGTCACCGGGTTCATAGTGCATTGCGCTAACCATTACACTACCGTCACCCACACCAACAACAGCCACCAATCGTCACTAAATGGCAGTAAAGTAAGCATGGTGATTGTGCCAGGCTAGATGCACTTTGAGGTCACGTGAAGTGTCAAAGGCTCATTGGCAGGAGGTGACAGGACAGACCCAGGTGCCATGGGCTGACTGAGATGACCAGCCGATGTACCACCTGTGACCCCTACTGTGCTAATTTGCTGCGTTTTAGCCACTCGGCGCTCCGCTCATTGTTGTGAGCGTCGCTTCTCTGCCCCCCGTTGTTACTGGAGGGCGATTACCTCCAAGTGCCCAGTAGCGTCCTTCACGAGCCTCCTCCATAGAGGCTGATCTTTACACCAGTTATCAGCAAGTCTACTCATCTCCACATCCTCCCGTACCGCATCAGTCCATCTCTTCTGTAGGTCTTGTCGTGCCCGTTTAGCCCCCTTTAAAGCTGTTTATGTGTAATGCGGGCGTAAATGGGCGGGGCGGATATGACGATCCGAGAGGGAGGAGTCAGGGTGACGTGGGGGAGAAGTTATAGCGGGGAGACAGGAAGCTATCTGGGTCAGTCGGGGGAGTGAAGGGTGGTGAACACGTTGGGTGGTCGCCGTGCCTCAGCCTGGTGGCTGAGGGGCTCATGACGGCGCCAGCCAGCGGGGTGGAAGAGAGAGTGGAGGATTGAGGTAGGAAGTGGCGAGATAGCCACAGAGGCCACGAAGGGCTGAGGTAGGAAATGGCGAGATAGCCACAGAGGCCACGAAGGGCTGAGGTAGGAAATGGCGAGATAGCCATAGAGGCCACGAAGGGCTGACATGGGGAGGTGGCGAGATCGCCACGCACGGAGGAACAGGGAGCAGCGATGGAGCTGCTGGGGGAGCAGCCAGAGGGCTGTACCAAGAGCCTGCAGCGGAGCTGCAGGAGCGTGGAAGGCTACGGGAGCGAAGGCAGATGTGGGGCTGCCAGGGAGAGAGTCTCAGGAGGAGTGCCGTGTGGGAAGGAGAACGCGAACCCCAAATAAAGGACACGGAGTCAGAGAGAAGTGTCTGAGTCCTTTTATTACACTGGAGTCAGAAGTGAAACGGCATCTCAAAACAACTGAGAGAAAGAAGAAAAAAAAGAATATTCCTGCGCCATCATCTGCTACATCATCAGACGACGACGACCTTCCTCAGACGGTGGACCTGCCTGCGATGGAAGAGGAGATCCGTGCTGGAACGAGTACGGGTCCGGGTGAGCAAGGTGTCGCCGCGTTGGTGGACCTGTCTGTGCCGGAGGATGCCAACTTACGATGGAGACAGATGGCGGCGCAGATGGAGACCTTGAAAATCGTGCTGGCGCAACTGTGTGAGTTCACCACGCCGAGGACGGCGTCGGGGAGGCCCGGTGGTGATCCGCAGGCCTCCGCCTTTCCTGCGCTGCCAGCGCCATTGCCACGTGGCACGAAGACGCCATCTTGGGCGTGGCAGGGGAGAAAAGGCGGGAAGCCGCCATCTTGTCTTCACCGCGGCGGGAGGACGCCGCCATCTTCAACATCGCGGCGGAGAGGCAGCCTTGCGCTGCCATCTGGAGGTGCCGCGGGGTGAGCAGCCTGCTGGGAGCTGCTGTTTTTCGAGGGGGTGCTGCGAGGAGAAGACGCCGATGCTGCAGCTGCTGGGGCGGGAGCTTCCCGTCTTGGCTCGGGTGCGTGACAACGGAGCCGTCAAGTCGCCGAACGAGTTCTGCGAGGCGTCTCAAGTTGCCACCCTGCCGTCCTCTTCTTGCTGCAGCCCCGGGCGAGTCATAACGATACGCACCCGGCCTTAACACACACCTCACTCATCTTTCGAGGGCCGGGGGGGGCTATTTTGGTTTTCTCTTATGACTCGATTGTGCGGAGCGCGGTTCGGACTGTGTATATGTGTGTAATAACGATGAACGCGCTATCTGCTTGTTGCTTGGTGTCAATATAAGTGTGTGCGTGTGTTGAGAATGGACGGAGAGTCTGCTGTATTTGCTGAGTGTCAAATTGTGTGTCTGCGCTGCTGCGTGGAGTTGTTATCTTGATGGTGAAGTTAATTGTTAACTTGGGAGCGTCAGGTATCTTGCGCTGTATTATTTGTGGGTTACCTTGTGTGATGGGCTTAATTGGAAAAATATATATATATATTTTTTGGTGTATTGTGCTGCGAGGTGCTGTGTGCGATGCGATTGTTGCAAGAGAGAGAATAATTGTGTTGTTGCTGCAAAGTTACGACAGGATTAATGGTGTGTTGGTTGCCTGCAGATCTGCTTGCTATTGTGCTTAAATGTACGCGTGTGATCGCGATATGCTGATTGCATGTGCTGTTATACCGTTCTGTATGGTTATGGGGTGCGATGCAGTGGTTGACTATTGGAATTGAGATTGTTATTATATTGTGCGTACCTGTTGGAAATTGGTAACAAATTCGAGGGGGACCCAAATATTGCTTGTATGGTTGTTGTGCACACGAGATTGCGTGTATATTATAGAGAGGGGACCCTAAAATTCGGTTGTATTGGTGTTGTGCACACGAGATTTCGTGTATATTATGGGTAATTGCGCTTTTTGAGAGAGAGAGCGCGCTTTGAGGGTGCGTGATGACGCCGTTGTGGGTGTCTCAAAGGTTAATGCTAATGGGACCGTAAATTGGCGCCAAGTGGCGTCGCGTATTCGGTTGATCGCATGCAGCCACGAGTTGCTTGGCGAGTTGGGTTGTGTAACTAATGTGGTTGGTAAAATATTGGTTAAAAATTCCACGATATGACAGCTGTGCGCAGCAAGCTGGGGCTGTGCGTCTATCGTTGGTGGGGTTGTTATAATGTGACGGGAGATGCGTCTTGTGACCCCCAGCTAAGGGAAGCTGGGGTGCACGAATGGAGAAAACTGGCCACGTGTTCGCACGTTGGGCCGCCATTTTGCGCGCACGCGGGGTATGGCGACGATGCGCTTTGCGGAAAGGGCCGCCATTTTGAGTGCGCGCGAGATATTGCGCGAACGCGCTGGGCGAAGGGGGACGCCATTTTGAGCGCGCGGGAAAAACCGGGGTGGGGCAAATATTCCATCTGTTATGCCTGCCATTGTTGATTGGGTGATGCACGAGTTGTGGTCACATCGGGCTATGGCTGATGGCTGACCTGACAGCCCGGAGGCGAAACCTCCGTGGTATGTCTTAAACTAATGGGCCATGTGCTCATATGGCTCGGGGAGTCGTGGTTCAGTTGTGCGGTGGCAGACTGAACCTGGTGTGCCGGGGGCTCACGGGATCTGGGTTAGGGTGTTATTGTCTCTATAAGAGAACATTGCCCCGTGGGGGGAGTACAGGGGGTCTGGCATTGCTGGGGGATGAACCTTCCCTGGGCTATAAAGCATCGGACTATACGAGGCTGGTGTGTGTCCATCTCTGATGGGATAGTAAGGGAGGAGCGTGGCCGAGTTGCTGCTCATCCCCGAAATTGCACTAGCTGAGAGTATGGTCAGTGGATGTTGCTGGGGGTTGACGACCACGGTGGGGGTTAGGGCGAGTTAAACGTTACCGCTGGGGAGCGTGGCTCTCTCCATGCGAGGGTGTGCGATTAGGTGTTTTGTTGGGTTGCTGAGAGTGACCGTGGGTACATGCTGTGTACGTGCGATGTCTGTGCTGGTCCTCAAGGGAGGACTGCTGGTGGGTAAGAGCAGGAAATTTTGTTGTTGTCACGTGTAAATAATATTGTTGTTAAAATGTAAATACTGGGGCATCCATTGCGTTATTTTAGGTATTTATGGGGAGTTTTTTTTAAGAGGGCTGGATTTACATCATCTCCACTACCCTGAGGCCGGGTGGCTGTCGTGTACGACATGCGGATGTGCGTTGTTGTGCTGTGCCTCAGGGGATTGGATTCTCCTTCTCGTCACAGATTCTTCAGCTCCCGTCGCACTGGGTGTTACCTGGTGTGCTAGCTGGATGAGGACTTGAAGGAGCAATTGAGCGCCGTTCGTCATTCTGTTCTACCACTTGCTCTTTGACGTTGGACTTGAGCCGAGCGGATGGAACTGCAACATGGACACGCACTAAAACATCACATTTCTGGATTGTGCGCGTTGGCCGTTCTTGCGTGTCAGTTGCCGTTTTTGTTCATTGTGCCATTTTTATTCTTGTTGATGTTGCGCGGAGGACAGGCCGGTGTTCTGTTCCAGTTCCTGATACCTCCCCTTTCGTTGCTTGTGTTGTTGTTGTTATAATCTCCGTTGTGTCTGGGGGACTCCTGATTGTGATGCCTTCGCCCGCATTATTTTGTTCTGTTTCAGCCGAGGACGGCTGGGATTTTCTGTACGGGGAAGGGTAGTGTAATGCGGGCGTAAATGGGCGGGGCGGATATGACGATCCGAGAGGGAGGAGTCAGGGTGACGTGGGGGAGAAGTTATAGCGGGGAGACAGGAAGCTATCTGGGTCAGTCGGGGGAGCGAAGGGTGGTGAACACGTTGGGTGGTCGCCGTGCCTCAGCCTGGTGGCTGAGGGGCTCATGACGGCGCCAGCCAGCGGGGTGGAAGAGAGAGTGGAGGATTGAGGTAGGAAGTGGCGAGATAGCCACAGAGGCCACGAAGGGCTGAGGTAGGAAATGGCGAGATAGCCACAGAGGCCACGAAGGGCTGAGGTAGGAAATGGCGAGATAGCCATAGAGGCCACGAAGGGCTGACATGGGGAGGTGGCGAGATCGCCACGCACGGAGGAACAGGGAGCAGCGATGGAGCTGCTGGGGGAGCAGCCAGAGGGCTGTACCAAGAGCCTGCAGCGGAGCTGCAGGAGCGTGGAAGGCTACGGGAGCGAAGGCAGATGTGGGGCTGCCAGGGAGAGAGTCTCAGGAGGAGTGCCGTGTGGGAAGGAGAACGCGAACCCCAAATAAAGGACACGGAGTCAGAGAGAAGTGTCTGAGTCCTTTTATTACATATGCATGCGGTGGCTGGGCATGCAGGCTATATAAACCAGCCAACGCAGCCTTGCCTGCCGGAGGAGCTCACCAATGAGACTGTGTCCAGATATTTCAAGGATGTGTGAACTCACATAATGTATATATGTTAACGTTCTTTTGCACCGCATGTAGCCAACCGTGCTAATTGGAGACGTGGGGGAAGGACAACAAATTAAACATATAAAATAGTTCTAAAGAAATTAGTCGTCAATCTAGATTATTTAAAAGTGCATAGCTCCAGTGACTTCCTCATATTGGAAGGAAGAGCATTCCAGGCGGCTGCATACGTGCACCTGAAAGAGTGTGATGCGGTGACCGTCTTTGTTCTATGGTTAGCCAAAATATGCAGCCTGGTTAAATCCAGGATGGATCATAAACAGGCCAGCCTCAATGTTTCAAACCGGTGCAGATGTTCCATTAGCGGAGTCCACATTTCGCAAGCATAGAGAAGGGAGGCCATGAATGTGGTTGAGAAGACCAGAAGCTTCGTGTGAAAAGACAGACCAGGTAGCTTCTACACAACGTTACGCAGCCGATGAAAAGATAATGCCGCTCGACTAATTCGGAGTGAGACCTCTGCTGTCAAACCAACCCGGTCATGAACACACTGCCCAGGTACAGAGACTTCTCCACTCTCTCCACAACTGCCCATCACTCACGGAGAGACACACACACAAGGAAAACATGCAGAGGGACATAGACACAGAGACGCACCGGAAAAGACAGAGAGCCAAAGACTCATGCTTAAATAAAGATACAGACATAGGCAGAGACAGCATTAAGTTCCCGCTCACGACCAACATCGGTGGCAAATATCCGCACCCATCATCGGCCTTCCCTAGGTGTACTCAGCCTTAAACGATTTGCTGATGGGGTGTGTATAAGACATCAGCACCAGGAGACCAGGGTGGCCGAGTGGCTGTGGTGGGGACCACACTACCCCTGGTAAGGGCAAGTCCTGGGTGCCATGGTGGCTAGGAAATGTTAACTACCTCGCCTGATTTGCAAGAGGGCGTGGGTTCGATCCCGACCCTAGCGCCTGCTGTATATTTGAAGTTTGCATGTTTCTCTCCCCGTGGTCGCATGGATTTTTTTCCAGGTCCTTCGGTTATTTTCCTCTACATTTAATATCACGCTTTTAGAGTATTTTGGCTGCTATAGATTTCCACGTGAGCATGATAAACTGCCACTTCGTTGAACTATAATTTGTGATGGCCATTTCACTTCTGCAAAAGAGCTACACAGCTCAGTGGGACCTTACCTGGTAAAAAAATATGAATAGTTAAGTTTTAGTTAAATGCTAACAGCTTGTGTGGGCTACATAGTGGACCTTTATCTCTGTGTGTGTGCGTGAGTGAGTAGGTGCGGAAAGAGCGGAACAGCGTGTGCCTGGGGCCTAGTGGGGTAGAGGCTGATGCTGGTGGTGGTGATGCTGCTGCATTCGCTGGGCCCTGCCCCTCAGCTCCCCTGCTGGCGGAACTCCCCGGAGCCTCCGATTTCGGTGCGAACACAAAAATACACAGAGGCAACGGCGCGGTCGATGTCCACTTGTCCCACTCGTCTGGCAACAAGAGTACCTGAGCGACGAAAGGGACGCTCGGAAACATCGTCATCATTGTCATCATCATCGTCATTGTCATCATCGTCGTCATTGTCATCATCGTCGTCGTCATCTTCATCGTCGTCATCTTCGTCATAATCATCGTCGTCATTATCGTCATCGTCGAAATCATCGTCATCATCGTCGTCATCATCGTCATCATCATTGTCGTCATTGTCGTCATCGTCGTCATAATCAATGTCGTCATAATCATCATCGTCATTGTCGTCATTGTCGTCATCGTCCTCATCATCGTCATCATCGTCATTGTCATCATCGTCATCATCGTCATCATCGTCATTATTGTCATCATCGTCGTCGTCATTATCATCATCGCCGTCATCATCATTGACGTTATCATCATAATCATCGTCGTCATCATCATCGTTGTCATTGTCGTCATTGTCATCATCATCATTGTCGTCGTTGTCGTCATTGTCATCATTGTCGTCATCGTTATCATCGTCATCATCGTCGTCATCATGATCATTATCATCGTCGTCGCAAACATCGTCATCATCGTTGTCATTATCAGCGTCATCAACGTCGTCGTCATTGTCATCATCGTCATCATCGTCATCGTTATCGTTATCATTGTCGTCATCGTCGTCATCATGGTTGTCATCGTCATCATCCTCGTCATCATCATCATCATCATTGTCGTTAGAATTGTCGTCATTGTCTTAATCGTCGTCATCATCATCATCATCGTAGTTGTGACATCGTTGTCATACGGTCAGGGTTCGTGAACATCCCTCACTCATCGACTCATTATTTCTTTATTAATCGACTCCAGATACTCATAATTGGCGTCAAACATGCACACACACGTGGACATGATCACAGCACCACGCTTGGCTGCCTTTATTTCCCGAGTGATAATTGTTTTGGTTTGTTTAATACAGGCTGCAACAGGTACTCATTTAAGGCTGAGTTGACCTAGGGGAGGTCCAGGACTATGGCCGATTTAGATATTCATCACCAATGTAGAGCGGGAGTGAGAATAGAACTCAGGTTACCGGGTTTTGTAGTGCGCTAACTAGTGCGCCACCACTCCAACAACAACAACAACCACCATTCGCCGCTAAGTGGTGGTGATGTCACCACGATGCTTGTGCCAGGCTATGTGCACCTTGAGGCCACGTGGAGTGTCACGAGATTCCTCCACAGAGGCCGATCTTGACACCGCTGGTACCAGTCATCGGCAAGTCCACTCAGCTCCACATCCTTCTGTACCACATCACTCCATCTCTTCTCTAGCTCGTGTCACGTCTGTTTAGACCCTCTTTCCAGCCGAACAAAAGCTGTTTAGGCATGCGGTGGCTGGGCATGCGGGCTACATGACCCAGCCAACACAGGCTTGCCTGCCGGAGGAGCTCACCGACGGGACTTTGTCCAGATCTTTCAAGGATTTGTGAGCTCCTCACAATTTAGCCTGGTAAAACCTAGGATGGATCAGAGGCACGCAAGCCTAAATGCTTCTAACCAGCTAAGATGTTGCATTAGGGGGGTCCACGTTTCGCAAGCGTAGAGAAGGGAATGACCATGACCGAGAAGACCTGAAGCTTCGTGCGGAGCGACAGACCAGGTAGCTTCCACACAGCGTTACGCAACCAATGAAAAGATAATGCCACTCGACTGATTAGGAGTGAGACCTCTGCTGTCAAACCGGAGCCGGTCATGAGCACACTGCCCAGGTTTGGGAAATTCTCCACTCTCTCCACAACTGCCCCACCGCCAATTGGAAGTTGTGGGGGTGGAGTGTCCGATGGTACAAAATACCCAGGCAGGTGCTTAGTTTGATGGGGCTGATGGTAAAGCCCACCTCTTAGTGGTAAGCTTCAGGTTCAGCAGCAGCGCCTCCAACTCCTCCTCTGAGTGAGCAGCAATTATCAGAACATCGCCATACATAATGTGGTTGACCAATAGGGAGCCATCCCTTGACCGCACCCGGGCATCGATCAGCCTCCCATTGTATCTGTACCAGATGGAAATTCCTCCGGTACAGCCATCGAAGGTTTCACGAATTACATGGTCGAAAAATATGTTAAATAATGTGAGAGCCAGAAGACATCCCTTTCGCACTCCAAGGTGAACAGAGAATGGCTCTGACTCCATGCCACGTAGTGTTACACGGGCCCGTGCACTATCATGAAGGTCCTTAATGATCGTGAGCAGAGGGTCAGGGACTCCGAAAGCACGAAAAAAACCCAGAGCCCATTCTTACAATCCTGTGGAACCCATCCAGGGGTCCAGATTGTTGTTATGATGTCATGTAGGGCAGTCTGTGAAAAAACGCCACCCTCCCTCAGCATATTGCTTGGAATATCATCTCTGCCCAGTGCCTTTCCTGGTCTCTGATTCTGTATCGCTTTCAGTATTTCCTCAACAGATGGCACCTCAGCCAGCCACTCACATGGGATGACTTCTTCTTCCAATATTTGAGACACCGCAGCCTCAGCAGGGTCATCCTCACTTTGTCCCATGATGTTTTCCAGGCTGAGGGATTTTTCCTCCCCCAGGACCTCACAGAAATGCTCAGTAAATCTGCAAACCTGTTCCTGGGGTCGGATATTAGATCACCCTTCTTTCCCCTAATGATGGTAATAGGTGTGGTGCTGCAGGTTACTTTTTTATAGAGTTAAATAGCGATTTGTGATCGTGGGCTATTGAGGCAGACTCCATCTCCTCAGCAACCCGCGACCACCACCCATCCTTGCAGTGCCTCACGGCTCTCCGAACCTCTAAGCGACGGCTGCGGTAAGCCTCCTCATTCTCTGACGTGGGATGCTGTAGACGATGAGAGTGGGCCTTTTGCTTTTTCTCAGCCAGCCTAAACACCTCCTCTGTCAGCAAAGGTCTCTGGGGAGGTCTGGACTGTGTACCCAAAGCAGCCATTGCAGCTGCATGAGCCACAGTCCTAAACCTCGCCCATTTCCCCTCGACATCTGGAGGAGTGGGGGACGATGCCAACCCCAGCCATAAGCGATGATGAAATTATCGTTTGCAACTTTCATCAGCTAGCTGAGACCAGGGCACTTTGGGGTTGAATGCGGTCCTGAGTATCCACCCACCACCAGAGTGGAAGAATGGCAGGCACATCTTACAGATGACAAGTTGATGGTCAGTGGTCAGATCAGCTCCCCAGTAGGTCTTGGTGTCAAGGACATGGGCCCGCATCCACTGTTCTGTCACCATGTTATGCAGCAGATGTTCTTGCTTGGACCCGGCATGCATACATGATGTTGTGTGGATGTGCCAATGCCGGAACAGCGTGTTGGTAATTACAAGCCCATGTGCTCCATAAAAATCTAGCAGCCTCCTACCGCTGTTATTGAGCTGATCTAGCCAATGCCTTCTAATCACTCCAGACCAGGTGCCAGGATCATGACCAACTCGGGAATTGAAGTCTCCAAACAAGATGACTATCCAGAGGGGCCACTTTAGCTAGCACCTGTGACAGGAGGTCATAGAAGGCATCTGACTCATCAGCTTTGACTGCATCCCTCCTCGGATGTTCGTCTTCGGTGGGGGCATGAGTAACCACGACCACCACTCCTCGCCTCCAGTTGATGCGAAGGCGAGCCCAAAAGAGCCTGGGACTTACTGCTTCCCACACCTCACCGTCACGCTCCCACGCCCCCTTCATTCTTTTGTTCATAAGACTAGCCACTCCCTGTTGTTTGGCAGTCTCCTGCCCCGAGTAGAGGACTATCCACCCCTCATGATTGCAGGAGCCAGAGTCGGTCCACTGAACCTCCTGAATACCTCAGAGATCCAGGCGGTACCCTTCCAGCTCTCTTTGAAGGTGGAGGGATTACCAACCCATTGCACTCGTTCAGAGCCCCCTATTTGGCCTCTGTCGTGGTTACAAACGACATGAGGGGAATGGCCAATCTAAATTGGCCCTCCCTCCACGGCACTGCTCACCACAACGTTGCTGTCCGGCACCAACGAGGAGGTACACACAGACACACACACACGTGCGCACGCACACACACGAGTGTGTAGTTGTTATTGTGACCTGCAGAGCGGTGGCACATTGTTAGTGCGCCGCGCTATGCACTCAGCAATTCGAGTTTGATTCCTGCACGTGGCCATCAACGGGGACAGCGAATATAGGAACTGGACATGGGCCGCCTCTCGGTCGACTCAGCCAAAAATTATGTACCTGATGGTGTGTGTGGATATGAGCACTCGGGAGACAATAAAGGCGGCCGGGCGCGGTGCTGGCCACCCACCCCCTCGTGTGCCATGCTGGCCTTCATAGGTGCTGCCATTAGTTATCACTCTGGTCACGAAGGTTACATTGTTAGCTTAAATTAAACAATGTATCTTATTTGCTAGGAGGCTCAATGGTGGAGCGGGCAGCTTTCAGCGATCGCAAGGTCATGAGTTCAATTATTGGTTATGGGGGGGAGGGGAGGTTCGGGGGTGACTTCAGCCCATCGTCCATCCGTTGCACCCTCCAGGGGTCAATAAATTGAGCGCCACTTTGTATGGGGGGGGGGGGGTAGATCAACAAACACCATTGTGCCGACTCCGCTCATCCTCGCAGCAGCAGCAGTGGCGGCTTTTGGCTGGGCCATCAAAACAAAGACAGTGGTCACCGCATCGTCGCGCGGCACTTTCAAATGCGCTTCTGTGGCCGTTTGGAATGCTCTTCTCTTCCGATATTAAGAAGCCACTGGAGCCATGCGCTTTTATATCATCATTTATATTCAAAACGCTTTTCTTTAGAACTGATTTAGTGTTTAGTTTGTTGTCCTCCCCCCCGGCACCCCCGATTAGCGCAGTGGGCTACGTACGGTGCGAAAGAAGTTCAACGCACAGTACGTACAACATCAGTGGTCGTCCTTCCTATGAAGACGCTTAATTGGCCACCGCCATAGGAATGTGGAATAACCAGATCTGGCTCTGCGGGGTGGGCTGAAACGAGGAGATGAGCACCACAGCACCTCAATGGGGCTCATCTGAGCAGGCAGGAAATCAGTGTAGCTTTAAATAATTAAATAAACCGGTGACGGTTCAGGCAATGGGCCCACTTCATGATGGCACATGCCGTAGATAGCTTTACGATTCCTTTGTTTTAATCACTGGTGCCCCCCACTCCCAACCCACCCCACTCCCCATGTCTCTCTACCCCCCCCACCGCCCCGACTGTTGCAGACCGCTCGCAGGTTTCCTGGGAGGGCCCCATCGTGGGCCCCCATGGCAGCCGCCAACCCCAGCCACGGCAACAGCCTCCTGGCAGCCGGGGGTCAGGGAGCCTCCATGGTCCCCCGCGCCTGTCCCCCTCGGACTTCTCCTTCATCAAGGTGCTGGGCAAGGGCAGCTTCGGAAAGGTATGTGGCGATTCGTTCATCCGCTCATTCACACGCTCAAATCGCTTTCTCGATCGTTTGCTCGATCGCTCACTCGCTCGCTCGATCGCTCACTCACTCGCTCATTAGCAGAGTGGCTCGCTCAGTCCTTCGTTGACTCCTTCGCTCGATCGCTCACTCGCGCATTCACAGAGTTGCTCACTCAGTCGCTCGGTCGCTCATTGGATCAATCGCTCACTCGCTCAGTCACGGAGTCACTCTCTCAGTCTTTCGTTCGGTCATGGGCTTGATCGTTCACTCGCTCATTCATGGAGTCGCTAGCTCAGTCCTTCATTCGCTCGTTGGCTCATTCACGGAGATGCTCGCTCAGTCCTTCATTCGGTCATTTGCTTGATCACTCACTTGCTCAGTCCTTTGTTTGCTCATTGGCTCAATCGTTCACTTGCACATTCATGGAGTCGCTTGCTCAGTTGTTCGTTCAGTCATTGGCTCGATCGCTCACTCACTCATTCTTGAAGTCGCTCGCTCAGTCCTTCATTCAGTCGTTCGCTAGCTTGATCACTTAATCGTTTATCCCTGAAATAACACCAAAGAAATATTAAATATTCTCAAAATACAATTGTCGGCATTTGCAGAACATGTGTAGAGGTGTAATTGCACATGGCTACGAATCTTCTTGTTTCTTTCGGTAAAGTCACGTAGAAGGGAAGTAATAAAATAATAAAAATAAAACATAATAAAACAATTCTCACGACGTTTCGGCTACAACGCAAGCAGCCGTCTTCAGGTGAAGAATGAGACACTACCAAACTAGGAGCTTATATATAAGCTGCATTGGGGGTTGAAGAGCGCCTTAACAAAAAGAATGTGCATGTGAAGAGGAATTTAGCATATTCATGGAAAATGCGTAGGCGTTGGGCGGGGGGGTGTCAAAGTCATATTATGCCCATGCATTATGCAGGATCAGCAGCAACCAAGGGGGGTGCAGGGATTAGCAGTAACAAAGGGAAGGAATGTTAATGATATGTAGCTGCAGTTACTCAACAACCACGTAGAAAACTAAAGTATAAACTACATAAAAAACTAAAGTATAAACTGCATCGCACCATCAGTATACTTACTATACTCTATAATAAGCTGAGTTACTAACAGCAAGTAATACATTACCATTCTACCTCGTAAAAATTCTATAATATGCTTCCATCTAGACCTTATTCTCTTACATCACACGAGCATATACCGTACTATATACTGCCATAGATAAACCCAACATTAAATTATATACTGTATTGCTGTAAACCAACCTATATCTTATACATTTAATATAACACTATGTATTATTCTACACACCCTAATGTGTGTCGAAATGGTTTATTACGTCCTTCCAATGATTGCTGAGCCAGAATCCATCTTCTCGGTTAAAATTGTCTCTGTGTTTGTATATGTGGATCGCCTCATGAACGAATCTCTCATGATAGCCAGATGGCTTGCAGAGAACCTCTGTCTTGGAGAAGTCAATATCATGTGAGCCCACTGAGTTGTAACAGTGATCTGCCACGGCTGAGGTGTTTGTCCTACCGTGTTTCAGGTCAGCTTTATGTTCACGGATGCGGTCCGAGACATGTCGTTTGGTTTCCCCAATGTAACTGCTACCACAGAGGCAACTTAGTTTGTAGACGCCAGGGTACTGTATGTCTGGAACCACATCTTTTACAGACGGTACCAGATCACGGATTTTATGTACTGTGTTGAATCGGACCTGGATCTTGTGTTTAATCAGGATTTTGGAGATCTTTTTTGTGACCCCAGCAATGTAGGGTAAGGTGATGGTCTTGAAAGGCTCCTCAACAGGATCCTTCTTGATGGTTGGAGTGATGGCTTTGCGGATTGTATAGTCGGAGTAACCATTTGCCTTAAGAGCTTGGCGTACGTGTTTGAGTTCACTGGAAATGTGTTCATGGTCGGAGATGCATTGGGCTCTATGATATAGAGTCTTGATGAGGGAATTCTTCTGGGATGGATGGTGGTGGGAATCCGGTTTTAGATAAGCATCCGTGTGGGTGGCTTTCCTGTAGACAGAGTGGCTCATTGAACCATCAGGTCTCCTTTTGATTAGGACATCCAAAAAGGGTAGCTTGCCATCATTTTCGACTTCCATGGTGAATCTGATGGCTGGGTGTATGGAATTGATGTGGTCGAGAAATTGGTCTAGAGCAGGCCGGCCATGTGGCCAGATGACAAAAGTGTCGTCTACGTACCTCTTCCATAAGGTCGGGCGTAGAGTGGCAGTCTGGATAGCGTCCGTCTCAAATTTCTCCATGAAGATGTTGGCTACAACCGGAGATAGGGGGGAGCCCATTGGGGTGCCCTCAATTTGCTTGTAGAAGGTTCCATTCCAGGTGAAGTATGTATTGGTTAAGCAGTGTCTCACCAGGGGGGGTACCCCAGCATTCAGTCCTTGATGAACCAAGTCTTCAATGATTGCGATGGTGTCAGGCACAGGTACCTTGGTGAACAAGGAAACCACATCAAAACTGACAAGCAGGTCGTCTGGGGACAGGGCAATCCCCTTGATTGTCGATACCAGGTCAGTAGAGTTTAGTACTGCAGAGGTGGTTTTTCCAGTGAAAGGCCGTAGGATTTCGGACAAAAAACGAGCCAGTTTGTAAGTGGGGGAGTTGATAGTAGAGACAATGGGACGAAGAGGTGTATCTTCTTTATGTATCTTTGGCAAGCCGTACAATCTTGGTGGTCTGGCTGCAGAAGGTTTCAACGAGAACTGTTTGGTCTGATCAATTAATGCGGTTGAAGCAGAAATGATGTTGTTGGTTTTGGAGACGAGGCTGTTGGTGGGGTCTCTTTTTATTTTTGTATAGCTGCCATCGTTTAATAGTTCTTGAATTTTGTTGTTGTATTCTATTTTGTCCATGATGACAGTGGCATTGCCTTTGTCGGCTGAGAGGATGACAATGTCATCCCTCTTTTTTAATTGAGCTAATTCAAAACGCTCCTCTTTGCTGATGTTGCTAGCTGGCATCTTAGCGTTTTTGAGGGTTACAGAGATTTCAGATCTTGCTACGTCTGCAGCGATGTGACTCAAGCCCTTGAGAGCTACATCTACTCGAGCAATTATATCATTAGCTCTCAAGGGCTTGAGTCACATCGCTGCAGACGTAGCAAGATCTGAAATCTCTGTAACCCTCAAAAACGCTAAGATGCCAGCTAGCAACATCAGCAAAGAGGAGCGTTTTGAATTAGCTCAATTAAAAAAGAGGGATGACATTGTCATCCTCTCAGCCGACAAAGGCAATGCCACTGTCATCATGGACAAAATAGAATACAACAACAAAATTCAAGAACTATTAAACGATGGCAGCTATACAAAAATAAAAAGAGACCCCACCAACAGCCTCGTCTCCAAAACCAACAACATCATTTCTGCTTCAACCGCATTAATTGATCAGACCAAACAGTTCTCGTTGAAACCTTCTGCAGCCAGACCACCAAGATTGTACGGCTTGCCAAAGATACATAAAGAAGATACACCTCTTCGTCCCATTGTCTCTACTATCAACTCCCCCACTTACAAACTGGCTCGTTTTTTGTCCGAAATCCTACGGCCTTTCACTGGAAAAACCACCTCTGCAGTACTAAACTCTACTGACCTGGTATCGACAATCAAGGGGATTGCCCTGTCCCCAGACGACCTGCTTGTCAGTTTTGATGTGGTTTCCTTGTTCACCAAGGTACCTGTGCCTGACACCATCGCAATCATTGAAGACTTGGTTCATCAAGGACTGAATGCTGGGGTACCCCCCCTGGTGAGACACTGCTTAACCAATACATACTTCACCTGGAATGGAACCTTCTACAAGCAAATTGAGGGCACCCCAATGGGCTCCCCCCTATCTCCGGTTGTAGCCAACATCTTCATGGAGAAATTTGAGACGGACGCTATCCAGACTGCCACTCTACGCCCGACCTTATGGAAGAGGTACGTAGACGACACTTTTGTCATCTGGCCACATGGCCGGCCTGCTCTAGACCAATTTCTCGACCACATCAATTCCATACACCCAGCCATCAGATTCACCATGGAAGTCGAAAATGATGGCAAGCTACCCTTTTTGGATGTCCTAATCAAAAGGAGACCTGATGGTTCAATGAGCCACTGTCTACAGGAAAGCCACCCACACGGATGCTTATCTAAAACCGGATTCCCACCACCATCCATCCCAGAAGAATTCCCTCATCAAGACTCTATATCATAGAGCCCAATGCATCTCCGACCATGAACACATTTCCAGTGAACTCAAACACGTACGCCAAGCTCTTAAGGCAAATGGTTACTCCGACTATACAATCCGCAAAGCCATCACTCCAACCATCAAGAAGGATCCTGTTGAGGAGCCTTTCAAGACCATCACCTTACCCTACATTGCTGGGGTCACAAAAAAGATCTCCAAAATCCTGATTAAACACAAGATCCAGGTCCGATTCAACACAGTACATAAAATCCGTGATCTGGTACCGTCTGTAAAAGATGTGGTTCCAGACATACAGTACCCTGGCGTCTACAAACTAAGTTGCCTCTGTGGTAGCAGTTACATTGGGGAAACCAAACGACATGTCTCGGACCGCATCCGTGAACATAAAGCTGACCTGAAACACGGTAGGACAAACACCTCAGCCGTGGCAGATCACTGTTACAACTCAGTGGGCTCACATGATATTGACTTCTCCAAGACAGAGGTTCTCTGCAAGCCATCTGGCTATCATGAGAGATTCGTTCATGAGGCGATCCACATATACAAACACAGAGACAATTTTAACCGAGAAGATGGATTCTGGCTCAGCAATCATTGGAAGGACGTAATAAACCATTTCGACACACATTAGGGTGTGTAGAATAATACATAGTGTTATATTAAATGTATAAGATATAGGTTGGTTTACAGCAATACAGTATATAATTTAATGTTGGGTTTATCTATGGCAGTATATAGTACGGTATATGCTCGTGTGATGTAAGAGAATAAGGTCTAGATGGAAGCATATTATAGAATTTTTACGAGGTAGAATGGTAATGTATTACTTGCTGTTAGTAACTCAGCTTATTATAGAGTATAGTAAGTATACTGATGGTGCGATGCAGTTTATACTTTAGTTTTTTATGTAGTTTATACTTTAGTTTTCTACGTGGTTGTTGAGTAACTGCAGCTACATATCATTAACATTCCTTCCCTTTGTTACTGCTAATCCCTGCACCCCCCTTGGTTGCTGCTGATCCTGCATAATGCATGGGCATAATATGACTTTGACACCCCCCCGCCCAACGCCTACGCATTTTCCATGAATATGCTAAATTCCTCTTCACATGCACATTCTTTTTGTTAAGGCGCTCTTCAACCCCCAATGCAGCTTATATATAAGCTCCTAGTTTGGTAGTGTCTCATTCTTCACCTGAAGACGGCTGCTTGCGTTGTAGCCGAAACGTCGTGAGAATTGTTTTATTATGTTTTATTTTTATTATTTTATTACTTCCCTTCTACGTGACTTTACCGAAAGAAACAAGAAGATGAATCCCTGCAGTCACGAAAGCTTTAAATGGCTACGAATGTTGAGGCGTGATTATGCATGGCCACGGATGGCCAACAAACACAAGGGGCGGGGTTACGGCCGTACACAAGGGTGGCGCTCGCACCGACGTCCGCATGTGTATCCCCCACGGGCCCCCCCTTGGGGGCAAGTCCTATAAAAGGTGATGAGCCGAAAGGCTCGGGAGTCGGGACTCAGCTTTAACCAGAGAAGAACGAAGACCTGCTAGAATAGGCCCCGGAGCTCCCCTGGCTCGCTGTCCTTCTAAGGGCCGACCAGGGCAAGCCGGTGGCGTGGCCCCGAGAGCCCAGACGAAGCTGGTCTGGTGACTCAGGGAGCCGGGATCCCAGCTTAACCAAGCTGGGACAGATAGCCTCCCCTAGTCCCGTAGTGGAGGAGTTGGTATAGGCTAGAGGGGTTAGCTGTCGAGAAATCCCTGTAGCCAAGTGACCTGTAATAACTGTGTTGGTGTAATAAATAAGTGTGCCTCCGATCCTGTCGTCAAGCCTCCATATATACTTACTACACATGCATGCTACTACTGGCCAAGACTAATTAGAAAATCTATCAAAATTCAGAAAAGTAAAAATAATTGTAATCTTTCTGAAAGCTACACGATTAGTGCTACTTGGAAGCGAATTATTAAGTAACACAATGATTAACTGCATGCCTTTACAGGTCACCAACGTGGTTGATGGTAATTAACTGTGAACAGCCAATAATAGGAACTGTGTAACCTCTTCATACGCTTATAATTAACATAACGTACATAATGATTTTAAGCTTTCGTAACTGCAGGAATCCATACTCTTTTGTTCTTTCGGTAAAGTTGCGTAGGTAGAAAAATAATAGATCACGACGTTTCGATCGCAACACAAGCAATCGTCACCAGGTGGGACAACCACAGCAATAAAAAAACTGCTGAAGTAGGCGAGAGATCTGCCGTGGCACGAGGTTATATAGGCCTCGGTAGTAGGGGGGGAGAGAGGAGGTGGGGGGAGAGAGGTGGCGGGGCAGAAAGTGGACCCCGCGGCAGCACTGTAAAGATCGGCTGCAGGGGGGGGGGAGAAAGAATGGGGGGAGGAGGCGGGGCAGAAAGTGGGCCCCGCGGCAGCACCCGGGTCACTGGGGTACTGGAGTAGAGATCGGAGAGATATGCACAGAGAGAGAGAAAGACACAGAGAGAGTCGGAAATAACAGCTGACATCGGCAGGTAGGATGGAAACATCACAGTCAGTTAAGACTTTACCTGGTTAATAACGTCCTTCCAATGATTGCTCAGTTTGTACCCATCTTCTCGGTTGAAGTTGTGCCCGTGTTTATATATCTGGATAGCTTCATGAACAAATATCTGATAATAACCGGTGGGTTTGCAGAGTACCTTCGTCTTCGAAAAGTCAATTTCGTGTGAGCCCACAGCGATAAAACAATGATCAACAACGGCAGAGGTATTGGTCCTACCGTGTTTCAGATCTGCTTGCAGCCGATTTCTCTATTGCTGCCGCGGTGGTCCACTTCACTCCAGTGACCCGGGTGCTGCCGCGGAGTCCACTTTCTGCCCCGCCCCCTCTCTCCCCCCCCTTTCTCCCCCCCTTATCTCTCTCCCCCTACTACCGAGGCCTATATAACCTCGTGCCACGGCAGATCTCTCGCCTATTTCAGCAGTTTTTTCTTGATGTAGTTGACCCACCTGATGACGATTGCTTGTGTTGCGATCGAAACGTCGTGATCTATTATTTTTCTACCTACGTGACTTTACCGAAAGAACAAAAGAGTATAATGTCCATGCACAATGTATGTTGATTACCTGTGAATAACCAGACTAATAAGAGGTATTCATTGTTATTCATGACTACATTAACCACCTCTCTGGTCTTCGCACCTGATTTGCCGAGTGACAACATCAACATTTATCCCTGCCCGTCCATTTAAGACCACAACAGGAGGAGGATTTCTCCACAACTCTCTGGCTGTCGCCTAATGAGGCCAGTTTATTGTAATTACCGACAAAATGTCACCAGGTACTCGAATTGTAAATGTTGTATTGGGTTTATTCCCCAACACACAACAGGTTAGTACTGAACTAGTTACTAATGGGCATGTTTTGTTACTAATTGGTTGTGTAGGCTGGTGGCGGGTTTAATGACACAAGCGGATGTTTAGTGGGACTGTGTGCACGCGAGCGCATGTACAGAGGGGCTGTGTGCGCGCGAGTGGCTGTGCAGGTGATGCTGGCGGAGATGAAGGGCCCGCGGAGCCCGGCTGCCGCATACTTCGCCGTCAAGGTCCTCAAGAAGGACGTGGTGCTGATGGACGATGACGTGGAGTGCACCATGATCGAGAAGAGGGTGCTGGCCCTGGCCTGGGAGCACCCCTTCCTCACCCACTTGTGTGGCACCTTCCAGACCAAGGTGCCACCCACTCACCCACTCACCCAGCCACTCACCCAGCCACTCACCCCTTCCTCACCCACCTGTGTGGCACCTTCCAGGCCAAGGTGCCACCCACCCACTCACCCAGCCACTTACCCAACCACTCACCCAGCCACTCACTCACCCAGCCACTCACTCACCCAGCTAGTCACTCTTACCTCACCCACTTGTGTGGCACCTTCCAGACCAAGGTGCCACCCACTCACCTAAGCATCCACCCACCAACCCACCCAGGCAGCCAACTGCCCACCCACCGCTCCACCCATTCACCCACCCACTCGCCTACCCAGCCACTCACCCACCCCTCCACTGGCCTCATCGTCTTATGGGCATGGGTAGAGCGAACGTAAAAACATTTTTTTTATGTTACCAGGTAAGATGCAACTGAGCTATGTTCCTTTTTCAGAAGCGACCTGGCTATCCCAAATAATAGCTCAACCAAGTGATGGCTTATCATGACGTGGAAATGTATCGCAGTGACATACTGTTGTATCTATGCCCTGTTTTCCCAAAATTAATATTAAGAATAATTAGGCCAAACAAAAAAAATGTGTGTTTTTTTTATATCTATATATATTTTTTAATTAAATAATGATAACAGCCCCTACTCCTCACAAGCACACCAAGAATCTGTGAAACGGGCAGGGACATTAAACGGCAAGATTTCAGAGCACAGAGAGGTCAGAGACATCCAGATGGACAAAAGGTCGATGGCCTAACCTTCCCAAGATGTCTGGAGATGCACGGATATCGTGCAGAGCAGAGAAAAAAAACTGTTGCAACTAGCGTTTTCTTTAACGTTTTCCTTAACGAAAAGTAGAAACTTAACAAAAGATTCAACCAGCCTACAATAGGGGCTTTTTATTAGATATTCCCTTATATTACTCGTATTCACCGCATATATATTATTTTGTATTGTATGTTTCTATCTACATGACCTTACCAAAAACTAAAGAATACGAATTCCAGAAAGCTTAAGTGGAAACTTAGTTACACTTAACCTCAGGACATTAAAATATAACTCAGAATAAAACACCAATCCCTGGAAACAAACGCATAACCAAACTTGGCAAAGCCCTCAAAATAATGATGTAACGAGGATCATTACGAATATTCATTAAACATAGACCGAATAATAACCATGATATACTAAGACCGAGGGAACTCATAAGAAATATCAAGAATAAATGTAACACACAGGACCACATAAATGTATTGCAAAAATCTCCTCAGCCACCTTTTCCTCTCGCAAGAGACGCACAGAGAGGAGAGGGTGTTCACGTTTTTTAGTTTAGGCACAAGCGCACATCACTAATGAGCAGTCTGGTTCGAGTCGCGCTCAGTCTCAGGACTCGGATTGCGATGCAGCGTTGCGACGGGGCTCGCAAGGGAGCTGGGGCGCGTCATGCCTCGAGGAGAGATGGTACGACGAGGGGCCGTTAGGGCAGAAGTCTGAGTTCAACCTGGGTCGAGGCTGGGTTTCAGCCGTGCTCTGGCTGGCGGAGCGTCGTGAGGGAGCAAACACCGATACCGACGGCCGGTGTCGTTTCTCACAGAACGAAGTGGCGAGGTGTGGTTAAGTGCAAGTGAAGCTGGCAGCTGCACGAACAAAGGAATGCACGGAGAAGAGAGAGTGACGAGTGACAACAAGCAATCAACCTGTAGAAAGGGCGGAAATCACCAAGTGTCGACCAAGCGAGCATCGAAAAGGACGAGCAGCAGCGGATGAGCAACAAGAGCCATCGTTCATCGCCAGAGCGCTCCAAGCCGGTGAGCGCGCACAGCCGCATCGTCCAGAGCCCGAGCCAACACAGCCTGAAGTAAGGGCGGGTGTCCGTGTGAAGTTGGCAGCGATCAAGGAGCGAGAGAGCGCACGAGCAGCACGACCTGGGCATCACCGAGCATCGTACCGACTCAACAATCATCCAGCAGTGGAGAAGACTGGAGCTGCCACCAAGAGAGAGAGAGAGAGCGCCATCGAATGCGCCGTGTGTTTGATACACACACACACCGACCAACACCCAGTGAGAACAGACAAGACGTCCAGCAGCGACGACGGAATCATCGTGCACCACGACGGCAAGCGTCGTACCGACGCCGCTCAATCTAGCAGTGGAGAGAGAGTGCACGTGCAGCACCAAGCCCGCCCGCTATCAAGCCCCAAACAACCAAGTTTCCTCAAGTAGCGTCGTGCCAACACCACTCAGCTAGCAGTAGAGAGAGAGAGCGCACGAGTGGCACCAAGCCCCCGGAACCATCAAGCGCCAAGCAAGCAAGTTTCTTCAAGGAACATCGTGCCAACGCGCTCAATCCAGCAGTGGAGAGTGGGAGCAGCACGGGCTCGCTGCGGCCACGCCCAAGCGAGAGGAACCTCTCTGGCTGCTGGTTGTATCCTCCCCCACCCCACAAGCTCCGACACAGCGACCTGCCTCTGCTTAAAATATTAATTTTACAAGGGGACAACGCACACACAACACGCACACGAATAAGACTTTCAAAAAGTTATCTTTGTGTTTCAAAAAGGGTTGCCATTTCAAGGTGGTGCGTTCAATATCAACTGATCGTGCAAAGCAGTTGCTGCCATCGAGTTACATGAATAAGAAATGTTTGAGTCATTTATTTTCGTTAATTGCATAATCTTGCCGATGAATCTATTGACGTATACTTTTGCCTTTGCATATTAGAATTTCATATGTTTGTTTAGAATTAAAATTGCTTAACACCAAGTGTTCGAGTGCTTCTTTCCCAGTCCATGCAAACTGTCTTATTTATAAGAACTATAACCTGTGATGAGATATGAATTTGGAGACCTAACATAACATAAACACACTAAGATAATCAGTAATCAAAGATAATCTTTTTATCCCGATTGATACAACTCTGGATAACGAAGCTAAGCCTAATTATCATAACTGCATACATTAACACAATCACAAGTACCCGCATAAATTGCCACGATTATCTCCGTGAGTATCATAATTTATGCATATAATTACATACATTATCATAATTTATGCGATTTGCGCATTTTTTTACAATTTTATTTATTTTATTATTAAAAAAATAATAATCCGGCATATACATGGAAGGGAAAAGCGGAGGACCCGGAGAAAAATCCACACGACCACAGGGAGAGAGAGAGACACACGCAAACTCCAAATATACAGCGGGCATCAGGATGGGGATTGAACCCACAACCTCCTGTTTAGCAGGCAAGTTAGTTAACATCTCATAGCCACCGTGATGATAATGAAAGAGACAGAGACACGCAAACGTAAAATATACAGCAGGCATCAGAGTCGGAATCGAAGCCATGAGCTCCTGCATGGAGGGGGGGGGGTTAACATCTCGCCACCGTGCGCTCCCTCATGCCTGGCGGTGTTGCACGCAGGAGCACCTGTTCTTCGTCATGGAGTACCTCAACGGCGGAGACCTCATGTTCCACATCCAGGAGAAGGGGCGCTTTGACCTGCCCCGAGCCACGTACGTCATCAGCACAATCATCATCAGCATCATCAGCTTAATCATCATCACAATCATCATCACCATAATCATCACAATCATCATCAGCACAATCATCATCATAAGCAGCACAATCATCAGCACAATCATCATCATTCTAAACGCATGCCCAGTGGCAGCTGTCCCTGTGCATTAGTCTGCCAGTGGTGTGGGAAGATGATCAACTGCTTTGTGTCAACCCATGTGAGTATTTAGCAAATTTAGACCGTGACGCCGGCACAAGTTGGACTCATAGACTCACACAAAGACCCAAAGACTTGCACAGTGACCTACAGACTCACACAGAGACCCATAGACTCGCACATATACCCATAGACTTACACAGAGACCTACATACTCACAGAGAACCATAGACCTACACAGAGACTCATAGATTCATACAAAGATCCATAGATTCATATAGAGACTCGTAGACCTACACAGAAACCCATAGACTCACACGAAGCCCCATATACTCACACAGAGATCAATATACTCACACAGAGACTCGTAGACTGACATAAAGACCAGCACAGAGAGCCATAGAATCATGTGCCCTGCCGGTCTTCATAGGTGCTCGCTAACAGCACTTGCCCCAACAGTCTGTTAAGGCTACACAGGGGATCTTTGTATTTTCTTGTGCACCACTGCCAATGCGACAGAAGCAGCAGTGATAGCTCGGAAATGCTTCACTGGAGACTGCATCCAAACCCGGGAAACCAGAAGAGCAATCTTGGAAGTCGTTCTGACTTTTAATCTAACCGCTGTAAAATAAAATATCATATTATATATTTAAAACAAAAAACTAAACTTAAAACTATTTTTATTTTACCAGGTAAGGCCCCACAGAGCTATGTAGCTCTTTCTCAGAAGCGACTTGCCCACAGATGATAGCTCAAGGGAGTGGCTTATCATCACGTGGAAATGTATAGCAGTAGCCAAATACTCGTGGTGATGTTGATTCTCAACGTGGAGGGAAAAACCGGAGGACCCGAAGTAAAACCCACGCAACCGCGGAGAGAGAGATATACAAACTTCAACTATACAACAGGTGTCACGGTCAGGATCGAGCCCACGACCTCTTCCATACCAGGCGAGGTAGTTAACATCTCCTAGGCACCGTGATTATGATGAGAGAGAGACACGCAAACTCCAAATATACAGCAGGCGTCAGGGTCGGAATCTAACCCACGACCTCCTGTATAGCAGGCGAACATCTCCTAGCCGCATGGCAGCTTTTAAAGAGTGCCTTCACTCGAGGAGCTAATCAACACGGGGACAGCATCGAGTGATTTATTTGGGAAGGGCGTTGCGAGTGCCCAGGAATGAGTGATGGTAACAGAGGCCACAAAGGAGTCACGAAAATGACTATTGGGGAGGGTCGGAGTTGTGGGGCGAGGGGAGGGAAGAGGAAGGGAATGTGAAATAGAGAAGGGGTAAGGCTGTGGGCAGTGTTGCGTCTACGGGCAGTATTGAGTCTACAGGCAAAGTTCAGTCTGTGGGCAGTGCTAAGTCTATGGGCAGTGTTGAGTCTATGGGCAGTGTTGAGTCTATGGGCAGTGCTGAGTCTATGTGCAGTGTTGAGTCTATGGGCAGTGCTGGGTCTATGGGCAGTGTTGAGTCTATAGGCAGTGTAGAGTCTATGGGCTGTGTTATGTCTATGGGCAGTGCTGAGTCTATGTGCAGTGTTGAGTCTATGGGCAGTGCTGAGTCTATGGGCAGTGTTGAGTCTATAGGCAGTACTGAGTCTATGTGCAGTGCTGAGTCTATGGGCAGCGCTGAGTCTATGTGCAGTGTTGAGTCTATGGGCAGTGTTGAGTCTATGGGCAGTGTTGAGTCTATAGGCAGTGTAGAGTCTATGGGCTGTGTTATGTCTATGGGCAGTGTTGAGTCTATGGGCAGTGTTGAGTCTATATGCATTGTTGAGTCTAGATGATGAGGTGAGGAAAGGTAATGCAGAGATCTAAAGACCCACGTCGGGTATTTGAAATGACAGCGGTGCAGTCAACTGGACTCCAGTGAAGTTGGAGCAGGAGGAGAGGCGAGGTGTGAGAATGAAAATGGGAGATTTAAAAATAACTCGAACGTAAGCGTTTGAATTTGTTGGAGTGGAGTGAGGGGAGAGGCAGGGAGACCAAGTATAAAAAAATGACAGAGGTAGTGCAGGCCGAGTAAAGATCAGAGAATGAACCAGGAGTTTGGTGGCAGAAAGTTAAATGAGAGGGCGGATTATTCTCATTTTAAACAGATGGAAGTAAATATGCATGTTGAGCTCAATTGGAGGCGGCAGACATGAGCGTTAGCGGAGACGTGCATGGGGATATTTGAGGGATGTGTCAAAGGGGACACCGAGGTTGAGGTCAGAGGAAACCGGAATTAAGGACGAGCACAGGGAGGGAGATGGATGATGCTTTAAGCGGAGTAAGAGAGTGATGGAAAGCAAAATTCTGTTTAGGATTGTATGGCAGCCAGGAAGGCCGGAGGAGGAGAAGCGAGAAAAGGTCGGGGGTGAGAGAGGAAATGGAGAACAATTAGAGGAAGAGGAAGAATAAGATTTGGGTTTTTGTCGTCAATGAAATAGTGAGGAAAGCAGGAGGAGTAGACAGATTTAAGAAAGTCCACATATCGATTAAGAAAGAATAGTGAAAGGGACCCTATGGAGTACCGATACTGAGAGGGGAGGGGATACGGAGTGGCTGGAGGAGACATAGGAAGTGCAAGAAGCAAGGTGACCTTCGAGCAAGAAGAGGCGGGGGGGGGGGGGTGCCTGAAATGTCGGGGTAGGAGAGAGCGGAGGAGAGAGTGGCGTGACCAACAGTGGCCGAAAGGCGGTGGACAGGTCGAGAAGAATGATACTGGGGGAGAGAGAGGGGGATCAGAATGGGGTTTTCGAGATGGTTGTGGACATTGAGAAGGGCTCTTATGGTGGAATGGAGAGGGGGTGATGGCCGGATTGGGATTGGATCGAGAGGGAATGTGAGTGTTGTTCAATCCGTCAGGATCTAGAGCAGTGGTTCTTCTTCTGAACCTGGGGTGCACCCACTCCCTGGGGGTGCGAGATGCCCTTTCTGGCAGTGTGAGACATGGTCAGATTTATTTTTAGAAGGTAAATCATCGACACACAAATTAAGCACAGGCCATGTAAGTACAACTATTTTGTTTAATCAATCCATATGTATTTATTAACATTTTTACGATTTAGAACCAAATGGGTGCAAGGCTGCAATACAGGTTAAGAACCACTGCTCTACATGGAATGTGAGTGTTGTTCAACCCGATGCTTGCTCGCTCGCTCAGACCTCACTGTGCTTCTGGAGAGAGAGGCATTCCGTGCGGAGCGTTGATCTCCCACTCTCTCTCTCTTTCGCTGTCTCACAGATTCTATTCTGCTGAAATCATCTGTGGCCTTCAGTTCCTCCACTCCAAAGGCATAATCTACAGGTGGGCACCAACGCGCGCCATCAGGGACTTCTTCCTAACTCAATCACCCATTCATCTATTCACTCACTCATTCACTCACTGTGTCACTCATCCCCTCACTCGTCCGCTCATTAGACCAATCATTAATTTCCACATATTATTTGGGTCTTTCGGTAAAGCCACGTAGATAGCTTTAAAGAAAATAACAAAATAACAGTAATTTTTTGTTATTTTGTTATTTTCTTTGAACTTATCTACGTGACTTTACCAAAAAACCCAAGGAATCTGAATTCCTGCAGTCACGAAAGCTTTAAGTCATTAATTTACTCACTAATTCATTTACTGAAGCACACACTCACACACCCGCTCAAACAACCAATCACTCACTCGCCATTCATTCACTGACTCACCGCTTACTGAAATGCAAACATTACTTTCTCACGAATTGGCTGGTAACATCTTCATAAACAGAGGATTGCAGAACTTGGGCATTGGTTAGTAGTGCCGGCTCCTCATCGAGTCGCTGCTGCAGTGTTACAAGCTGACTTGATTAATGTCATAAACTCAGTGGCATACTCACTCACTCACTAAGTCACTCACTCACAAGTTACTCGCACACTTAGTCACCCACTCACTTAGTCATTCACTTCGTTACCTACCCACTCACTTAGTCACTCACTCACTAAGTCACTCACTCACTAAGTCATCCACTCAATTAGTCGCCCACTCACTAAGTCACCCACTAAGTCACTCATTCACTCGTAAGCTTGCGATCGCTGTGAGCTGCTCACTCTTAACACTGAAGCACTCGGTCAGATTGAGCAGTTTGTGTCATGATTATACGGAGACAAAGATCCCCTGTATAGCCTGCAGCAGGCTGTTGAGGCATTTGCTCTTAGCGAGCCGCTGTGTGCCATGCCGGCCTTCATGAATCCGGCACCACACCCGCAGTGCTGAAGTTGACACACCGCACCTAGTACTCATTGTTAAGTTTTAGTCAACCTCGGGGAGGGCTCAGGACCCGGTTAAAATATTTGTCAACACTATTATTGGTCGTGAACAGGAGTTGAACCCGGCATATCGGGTTCGTAGCGCAGTGCGATAACACTTCGCCACCGTTCCATCTACAAAGGCAGCGATCCCCCGAGAAGCCTTAATGGATTTTTGGGACCAGCACGGTATACGAAGTGGTAAGTGGCCACCACCACGCCCGGCTGTCTTTGTTCCTCAGTGGCAATGTTTACGCACCACACTGGGTACTCTGATTAAGGCTGAATCGACCTAGGGGAGGCCCATGGCCGGTTTAGATAATATAATCGTCACCGGTTGCTGGGTTCGTAGCGCAGCGCGCTAACCGCTACACCATCGCTCCCCACACACGAACACACAACAACAGCCACCATTGACTACTAAGTGGCGGTGACGTCACCACCGTGCTTGTGCCAGGCAGGCTAGGTGCACTTTGAGGCCACGTGAAGTGTCGACGGCTCGCTGTCAGGAGGTCAAGGGACAGACCCAGGTGCCATGGGTTGACTGACTGAGATGACTGACCGATGCAACACCTGTACACTCCACCATGCCAACTTGCTGTGTTTTAGCCGCCCAGCGCTCCGCTCGTTGTTGTGAGCATTGCATCTCTGCTCTCCGCTGTTGATGGAGGGCAACTGCTTTCAAACAGCCCAGTAGCGTCCTTCACGAGCCTCCTCCATAGAGGACGATCTTGACACCGCTGGTACCACATCCTCCTGTACCACATCAGCCCATCTCTTCTTTAGCCTGTGTCGGGTCCATTTAGCCCCCTCTAACCGGCCGAACAGAAGTTGCTTGGTTATGCGGTGGCTGGGCATGCAGGCTACATGAGCCAGTCATCGCAGCCTTGCCTGCCAGACGAGCTTACCGATGATGGGAACTGTGTCCAGTGTAATGCAATGCAACACAACACAGAGAGTCGGTTAACACACAGTTAACGCATAGCCTGGTTGATTACGTTCTTCCAAAGATTAACCGACTCTCCCTGTTGCATTGCATTACACTTTGTAATTTTACTAAATTAGTTTTCTCAAGCTACCTATTTCTCTTCTTGGTTCTTTCGGTAAAGTCACGTAGAAGGGAAATAATCAAAATAAAACATAATAAAACAAAATTCTCACGACGTTTCGGCCACAATGCAAGCAGCCGTCCTCAGGTGAAGAACAGGGCTGTCGGAAAGACAGCGTCCGAATTAACACCACCAAGCTTGGTAGCGTATATTTAAGCTGGGTTAAAGGAGGAGAGCGCCTTGATAAATGAATTTACATATCAACAAAAGAATTTAGCATATTTACGGAAAATGCAGATATGGGATTAGTCACTACTTGTGGAATGTGTAGGTGGTGGGGAGGTCTCAAAGTCATATTATGCTCGTGTATTATGTAGGATTAGCAGTCATAAAGGGAGAAAGTAGGATTAGCAGTAATAGAGGGAGGTAAATTTTAATAGTAAGGAGCTGCAGCAGCCAAACCACCACGTAAAAAAACTAAAATATAAACTACATCCAATATCATCAATACACTCAATATACTCTCCAATAAGCTCAGCTTATTGATTTCGGACGTAAACAACAAGAAACATCTGAAAATCCGAGATATTTCATTTTAAGTCCCCCAAATATCTATTTTTATTGCCCCATAAACATGTCTGTACCTGGTGTCATTCAGAAACCGTTCAAACTATAGGATTGCGGGTGTTTTTATTTGATAGAGTATTAAACAGCAAATACAATTGAAGCGAGAACCATTCTATATTTTATTGTTTTTGAGATATTTCGGATTCAAGCGGTTTTGAACGAAAAAAATCTGCATTGTATGATGTTACAATCTGAATAATTCTAAAACGGTATTAAGTACATTAATTTTTGTTATTTCTAATAAAGAACATACTCTTTAAATTGAGCAGTTTCCGATGGGTCTGTCTTTAAATATTAGAAGTTGAATGAAGTCCTCAACAATACAAATGTTTAGAGTAGTTCATCTTCTTGGTTCTTTCGGTAAAGTGACGTAGAATGGAAATAATAAAATAATAAAAATATAACACAATATTATTTAACTTTACCGAAAGAACCAAGAAGATGAATCGCTGCAGTCACGAAAGCTTTAAATCGAAATTTAGAGTAGTTGTTAGTGTCTGATCGAAGATAAAAATGGTAAACAAAAAAGACATTCTTCATGAACTCGTTTATTTACAACGCTATTTTTCCCATAACATGGCATTCTTCAGGAAAACAACCACTAGCACCGCCGTGTTATAGGAGAACAGACAGACAGACCGTGCGTGTGGTTTAATGAACCCCGGGGGAAGGGCGGGAACGATCGGCGGAGCCGGGGCCTCGAACTCGCCGTGGCATCGCTCAGCAACGGTCGGTGAGCACGAGACCCTCATCCAGCAGTGAATCAACCCTGGCCACTGCTGTCTGTCCCACGCTCGCCCCCCCCCCCCCCGATGTCGCCCCCCCCCCACCACCCGGCCCACCGCTAGAGACCTGAAGCTGGATAACATCCTGCTGGACCGCGACGGCCACGTGAAGATCGCCGACTTTGGGATGTGCAAAGAGAATGTGAGCGCCGAGACGCTCGCCTCCACCTTCTGCGGCACGCCCGACTACATCGCGCCCGAGGTTCGGGGGGGTACGGGGGGCACACGGGGGCATGGGGCATGGGGGGCATGGAGGGCACAAGGAGGGCACGGGGGGCACGGGGACATGGGGGGCACGGGGGGCATAAGGCGGGCATGTTGGGCACGGGGCGGGCACTGGGGGAACACGGGGGGCATTCGGGGGGCACGGGGGGCACTGGGAGCATGGGGGGCACACAGGGGGCACGGGGGCATGGGAGGCACTGCGGCACTGGGGACACATGGGGGGCACAGAGGCATGGGGGGCAGGGGTGGCATGGGGGGCATGGGGGCTACCGGGGGGGCACGGAGGGCACGGGGAGCACACAGGGGGCATGGGGGTCACACGGGGGGCCTGGGGGGAGGGGGGTGCACACGAGCCCTCTAAATGTGATGTTAATTCTAAATGTAAAGGGATAAACCGGAGGGTCCGGGGAAAAATGGACACGACCACGGGGAAAGAGACACGCAATCTCCAAATATACAGCAGATGTCAAGGTCAGGATCGAACCCACGATCTCCTGTACACCAGGCGAGGGAGATAACATCTACTAGCCACCAGTGCAAGCGAGAATGACTTTGATGCCATGGGCATGCAAGGGATGAGTGATCATGATGGAGGGGTCACATAGGGGTTAGGGAAGGGTATTAGAGGGCTCAGGAAGTGATGGAGGGGCGAGGAAAGAGGATGGGTGATGGAGGAGGTGGTTGAGGTTTTACGAGAGGAGCGAGAGGAGGCTAAGGCTGGGGGACTGCTCAATATACAACGTGGTCACCACGGCCATTGTCATTGTTGACTTTCGTTGGGTTGAGCCACGTCGAATCTGGTCACGTTTGTGGTGTAAGGCCTTCCACCACTCTGCACGGCCAAACAATACATGCGTGTCACCGCTCACGCTCATACACGCGTGTCACCGCGCATGGTCATACATGCGTGTCACCACACATGCATGCTCATACACGCATATTACCATTCCAAGCTCATACACGCGTGTCACCGCACACCCTCATACACGCGTGTTACCACGCAAGCTCATACACGCGTGTCACCGCACACCCTCATACACGCGTGTTACCACGCAAGCTCATACACGAGTGTCACCGTGTACACAGATCCTACTGGGTCACCCATACGGGCGCTCGGTGGACTGGTGGGCCCTGGGGGTGCTGCTCTACGAGATGCTGGTGGGGCAGTCGCCCTTCTACGGCACCGACGAGGAGCAGCTGTTCGAGGCGATCCGTGTGCACACGCCGCACTACCCTCGCTGGCTCAGCGAGCCCTCCCGAGATATCCTCACGCAGGTGAGAGGGAGACAGAGATCTTCACACAGGTGAGTGGGAGAGGTAGGGAGGGAGATCCTCACACAGGTGAGAGAGGGAGTCACGGTATTGAATAAATCTGCCCCAGTGTTTCACCCGCCACGCGGGCAGCATAAGACCGGCAACCTCCGGCTCGCTAAGTCCAGTGTGCCAGCACACATGGCTGATGATGATGTTGCTGATAATGCCGATGATGTTGACGCCGACAATGATGATGCTGAGGATACTGCTGATGCTAATGATGATGCCGATGATGCTTGTGCTGCAGCTGTTTGAAAGGGACCACTCTAAGCGGCTCGGGGTGGTGGGGTCCATAAGGATGCACGTGTTCTTCAAAACCATCGATTGGCAGGCGCTGGAGATGCGTCAGGTCATCCCTCCCTTCCGACCCAAAGTGGTACGTCCCACTTTCCACTGAGCCACACAAAGCCAAAAGTCCTCCATGTAGCCCACTCTGTATTTTTGGGCAAGTGCTGGTTAATGGGTAAAGAACAACAACAGCCGCCATTCGCCAATAAGTAGTGGTAACGTAACCATGGCGCCTGTGCCAGGCTAGGTGCACTTTGAGGCCACGTAAAGTGTTGAAAGCCCGCTAACAGGAGGTCACGGGATAGACCCAAGTGCTATGGGTTGACTGACTGAGTTGTTTGGCAGATGCACCACCTGTGCCCCATACTGTGCCAACTTTCTGTATTTTAGTCGCCCAGAACTCGTTGTTGTGAGCGTCGTTCCTCTGCCCTCCGTTATTGCTGGAGGGTGACTGCCTCCAACTGCCCAGTAGCGTCCTTCATGAGCCTCCTCCATTGAGGCCAATCTTGACACCGCTGGCCTTACCTGGTAAAATAATAATATTTTAGTTTTTAGTTTATTTTTTACCAGCATTCCGTAAGTCCGCTCAGCTCCAGATATTCCTGCACCGCATCAGCTCCATTTCTTCTCCAGCCCATGTCGTGCCCATCTCGCCTCCTCTATGTGGCCAAACAGAAGCTCCATGGGCATGCGGTGGTTGGGAATGCAGGCTGCATGACCCAGCCAACACAACCTTGCCTTCTAGAGGAGCTCACTGATGTATTTATGTATGTTGAACTTCTTTTGCACCGTACGTAGACAAGGATTTGTGAGCTCCTCACACAATCCATCCTGGTTAAACCCAGGGCGGATTGTAGGTAGCCCAGCCTGAATGTTTCTAACTGGTGCAGATGTTCAATTAGAGGGGTTCACGTTTTGCAAGCATAGATAAGGGAAGGCATGACTGTGGCCTAGAAGACCCGAAGATTCGTGTGAAGCGACATATCAGGTAGCTTCCACACAGCGTTGCGCAGCCGGTAAAAAGATAATGCTGCTCGACTGATTTAGTGTGAGACCTTTGCTGTCATAAGCATACTGCCCAGGTATGGTAAACCCTCCACTCCAAACCTGCTCCATCAGCTGATGGGGAGTTAAGGGGGTCGGGGTGTTTGATGGCACAAAACACCCAGGCAGGTGCTTAGTTTTTGCTAGACACACACATGCGCACACACACAGGTACACACACGTGCACATGAAAGCCACCAGTGGTCCCCGTGTGGCTGGGAGAGTCCCACTAGGTTCACAATTTCTGGTTGTAAACCCGGGATAAATCCATGGGGTTTTTGCAGAGGCCACTCTTGCGTGCCCGTGCGTGAGCGTGCATGTGTGTGCGCGTGTCTGCGCCCCTATGGGGAGCGGTAGTGCAGCGCTCATGGTCGGCACCAGTGAGTACCTGGTGCAGTGTGTAAACATCACCACTGGGGAGACAAAGGCGGCCGGGCGTGGTGCTGGCCACCCAACCCCCCATATGCCGTGCTGGCCTACATAGGTGCTACTCGTTAACAGCACGTGCCGCAACAGTTTGTTAAGACTATATGGGGATCTTTGTATATTTTCATTTATATTAGTGGATGTCCGGTGGCACAGCGTTAAACGGCGCTGCGCTTCAAACCTGACGACTCGAGTTCGATTCCCGCTCTCGGCCAGAAATACCAGTGAGGATTATCTGAGCCTGTCTCCCTTATATTGACTCAGCCTCAAATGAGTACCTGGTACTGTGTGTAGCAAACATCAGCACTGGGGAGACAAAGACGGCCGGGTGCGGTGCTGCCCACCCATCCCCTGGTGAGCCCGTGCTGGGTTCACGGCACTTTCCCTAATAGTCTGGTTAAGGCTACACGGGGGATCTTTGTCTTTGTTGTGTGCGCCCCACCCCACCGGGTTGGCCAGAGATCGGCCAACGACTGCAGCAACTTCGACCAGGAGTTCCTGAGCGAGAAGCCGCGTCTGTCCTTTGGCAACAAGGAGCTCATCAGCTCCATGGACCAGTCGGTGTTCCATGGATTCTCCTTCACCAGCCCCATGGTGGAGATGCTGGGGGAGAAATGACATCGCCAACCTGGTCGCTCGTGAGCATGCCAGGGCCGACAGGGGTTGGTGGATGGGGGGCGGGGGTGTTAAGACGATGGCAACGATGGTAGTGATGATAGTGATGACTATGGTGGCGCGACAATGGTGGTGACGATGGTGATGGCGGTGGTGACGATGGTGATGATGGTGGTGACGATGGTGGTGATGATAGTGATGACGATGGTGGCGACGATGGTGGTGACGATGGTGATGGCGGTGGTGACGATGGTGATGATGGTGGTGACGATGGTGGTGATGATGGGGTTGACGATGGTGATGATGGTGGTGACGATGGTGGTGATGACGATGGTGATGATGGTGGTGACGATGGTGGTGATGATGGGGTTGACGATGGTGATGATGGTGGTGACGATGGTGGTGATGATGGTGGTGATGGTGGTGGTGACGATGGTGGTGATGATGGTGGTGATGGTGGTGGTGACGATGGTGGTGATGGTGGTGGCGATGGTGGTGGCAATGGTGATGATGATGGTGGAGACGGTGGTGACGATGGTGGCGTCGCGTGCATGTGACTCAATCCATAACCGGCGCTCACAATCACTCACTAACTCACTTAGACACCCACTCACTGACTTACTCCATAACTAACTCTCTCAATCACCCATTCATTCATCCACCTACTGACTGAAAACCCTTCATAACCGTCTCACTCAATCACTCAATCATTCATCAACTCACTCAGTCACCCGACCAACCTGCTCACTCAATCAGCCACTCACTCAGTCACCCACACAGTTACTCACCCAGCTACTCACTCACGAAACAGACTAGCCACTGACTCACCCACCCACTCACAGTCTATGGGGTCTGCGTGCTAGTCTATGGGGTCTCCATGCTAGTCTATGGGGTCTGCGTGCTCGTCTATGGGGTCTCCGTGCTCGTCTATGGGGTCTGCGTGCTAATCTATGGGGTCTTCATGCTACTCTATGGTGAATCCGTGGTAGTCTATGGGGTCTCCATGCTAATCTATGGGGTCTCCGTGCTAGTCTATGGGGAATCCGTGCTACTCTATTGGGTCTTCGTGCTAGTCTATGGGGTCTCCATGCTAGTCTATGGGGAATCCGTGCTAGTCTATGGGGAATCCGTGCTAATCTATGGGGTCTGCGTGCTAGTCTATGGGGTCTCTGTGCTAGTCTATGGGGTCTGCTTGCTAGTCTATGGGGTCTGCGTGCTAGTCTATGGGCTCTATGCTAGTCTATGGGGTCTCTGTGCTCGTCTTTGGGGTCTCCATGCTAGTCTATGGGGTATCCATGCTAGTCTATGGGGTCTCCATGCTAATCTATGGGGTCTGCGTGCTAGTTTATGGGGTCTGCGTGCTAATCTATGGGGTCTGCGTGGTAGTGTATGGGGTCTGCGTGCTAGTGTATGGGGTCTGCGTGCTAGTCTATGGGGTCTGCGTGCTAATATATGGGGTCTGCGTGCTTGTTTATGGGATCTGCGTGCTAATCTATGGGGTCTGCGTGCTAGTCTATGGGGTCTGCGTTCTCGTTTATTGGATCTGCGTACTAGTCTATGGGGCCTACATTCTTGTTTATGGGGTCTGCCTGCTCGTTTATGGGGTCTCCATTCTCGTTTATGGGGTCTGCGTGCTAGTCTATGGGGTCTGCATGCTAGTCTATGGGGTCTGCGTGCTAGTCTATGGGGTTTGCGTGCTAGTCTATGGGGTCTGCTTGCTAGTCTATGGGGTCTGCGTGCTCGTCTATGGGGTCTCCGTGCTAGTCTATGGGGTCTCCATGCTAGTCTATGAGTCTGCGTGCTAGTCTATGGGGTCTGCGTGCTCGTCTATGGGGTCTCCGTGCTCGTCTATGGGGTCTGCGTGCTAGTCTATGGGGTCTGCGTGCTAGTCTATGGGGTCTGCGTGCTCGTCTATGAGGTCTGCGTGCTAGTCTATGGGGTCTGCGTGCTTGTCTATGGGGTCTCCGTGCTCGTCTATGGGGTCTGCGTGCTCGTCTATGGGGTCTCCGTGCTCGTCTGTGGGGTTTGCGTGCTAATCTATGGGGTCTGCGTGCTCGTTTATGGGATCTGCGTGCTCGTTTAAGGGATCTGTGTGCTAGTCTATGGGGCCTCCATTCTTGTTTATGGGTTATGCCTGCTTGTTTATGGGGTCTCCATTCTCGTCTATGGGGTCTGCATGCTAGTCTATGGGGTCTGCGTGCTAGTCTATGGGGTCTGCGTGCTAGTCTATGAGACTCCGTGTGAACCTCAAGGACCCCGTGATGGCCATAGCATTCCTTACGTGTGGTGGGGCAAAGTGTGGCCACTCCCCCTGGTAGTGGAGGATGCCCTTCCGCCAGCAGGTGGCGTGTGAGCGGGGTGGTTGCAGTGCTTGCGCCTCTTTGTCCCGACCTCCGAAGGGGGCGCGGGGTCGTAGGGGAATTCGGTTTATGAGACGAGGGCTGTAGGTGGGGGCACCAGGCAGGTATATATGCGGGGCGAGCCGCCGCTCCGCATTCCCGTTGTGTTGTTTTGGTTTTCGGGAGGGGAGGGGGGGCATCGGGATTCGTGGCGACACGATGGGGAGAACGCCGCCGCCGGCGATGGTAGCCGTGGAATTCGCTGCCACGTGGGAGCTCGAGCAGACTACCACGTCGCGAGAGGTGGCGGCGGCGGATTGGAGAGGCCTTCATCCAGTTGTGGATTGACCATGGCTTACGATGACTTCATCCAGCAGTGGATTGACCATGGCTGATGATAGTTATGATGATGCCTTCATCCAGCAGTGGATTGACCATTGCTGATAACGATGAGTCCTTGCTCAATCCACTGCTGTAAGAATGCATCATGGTCTATCAACTGATGGATGTAGGAATCATAATTATCAGTCACGGTTTATCCACTGCTGAATGAAGGCCTCCCCATCCCATGTCGCTCATGCAGTGGAGTGGCCATGTAAGGTCACTCCACTGCCAGTGCTAGGGGCATGTGAAGCCACTCAGGATTTTTCAGAATATTTATTTAAACTGGAGGAATCCGATGAGCTATGAAGATCTTTTTTCACAAATGCCCAGCAGTCGCAAATGTCCATGCTAGTGTGTAAATGTTGTGGCTTCAACACACCGGTGGGCTAAAGCAGTGAACTATTTGTCTTTGTCAACGTGACACATTTTTACTGATTGGCCGTGTCGGGTGGTGGAGGGTTACAACACATTTATAAATAAACGCGATCTAAACCCAAAAACCTTGATTATGAATAGTGTAGTAGAGTTCACGACTCTTGGACGCCGGAGTTGGAGGCACACGGGTTTATTTCACACAGCACGGTTGTGGCATACAACACTAGAGGGGGTGTCGGCCCCCTCACCCGGCTAGCTGGGGATACACGCGCTAGCTACTCCTAGCCTGCCTCCTAGTCCTCCACTAACGGGCTAGGGGAGGCTATCTGGCCCGACACTGGTAAGTCAGGCCCGGTACCCTGAGTCCCAGACCAGCTCTGACAAGAGCACCGGCTCTGGCTCTCGGGACCACGCCGCTGGCTCGGTCCTGTTCGGCCCTGATAAGGACGGCGAACCAGGGGAGTCCAGGGCTCTAGCTAAGACGTCTTCAGTCTTCACTGGTTAGCTTAACATCATCTCCCCGAGCCCTCCGACACATCCCCTTTTATACCCAACCCCCCGCTGAGGGGTGGGGCCCCGGGGGATCATAACTCCGAATCAGCCCCCCAGGGTGCCTGGCGCGGACGTCGTAGAGAGCACCTCCCCGTGCACTCACGTAGCCCCGCCCACTGTGTTTGTTTGCCATAAGCTGCCATGCATAACGGGCTCTCTCTCTAACACCCCTACATCACCCCCCCCCCCTCCGCATAGCTTGCAGCCGTCCTGGCTGCCAACATACACAAAAAAAAATTGACAATAAAAGTGCATTTACCCCCTGACCGCGCGTGTGCCTCACTCTTTTTCAACAATAACAAGAACAACAACAAGAACACAACAAGACCGCAACAGCAAGAAGAGAAAACAACCCGACGCACCCCCCCCCCCCCCCCCCCCCGAATAAATACGAATTTCGTAAAAGCAGCCTATATGCAATTTGCAGGGAACCCACCATACACACAACACTCAATGAACACAACCTATGTACACATCTTCCGGCCTCACAACAGTCTGCGCATTTTAGCGCGCGTCCTTGCAGCGGGCCCCTCACACGGGGTAACCCCGGGTGGCGGACCGTCAGGTGGCAACTGTCCGTCTCGGAGTGAGTCCTCATCTGACGCCGCGTGACCCTTGGCATCCCCAGGAGGGGTGATCGGCCGTGAGCCCGTCACTCCTGATGCACCTGGAGGTGGCACAGCCGGCAAGGCATTAGGTGAGAGCGACGGAGACAGACCCAGTGAGTCGGTCGACCCCCCACATGTTTGGCCACGCGTGTGTGAAGTGGGGATGTGTACCGCAACGAAGGGTTTTCATCTAGAGGGGTGCACGAACCACCGCCGCTTCCCCCATTTGATGCGCACGCACTGCGGTCGCAAAACCTCGACCACCTCCACAGGGCCCCGCCACGGCCGCACCAGCTTAGAGGAGGTTGCAAGTGGCACCTGGGGACAGTGCAGCCATGCCTTGTCCCCCAGCTTCCACTGCAGCATGTGCGCCCGACCCCGTCTGAGCCGCTCATTCGCTTTCTGACGGAGGTCAGAGTTTTGCATGGCAGCATCCCGTGCCTCTGTTAATTTGGCTAGATTCAATTTTACATGGTCAGCCAATTTAGTTTTACCCTGCGGCGCGGGGATCTGCAGCTGGGCACGAACAGGCGGGTCAGGTTCGCGGCCGTACATGAGGTGGAAGGGGGAAAATCCCGTAGCTGCATGGGGGGCCATCCGGTATGCTGCCAAGACCCCTTGAATTTTCAGGTCCCAATCGGTCTGTGAGTCCGAAACCTGCTGTGACAACATTGACGTGATGGTTCGATGCAGACGCTCGACCATCCCGTCAGTTTGCGGGTGATACGGGGAGGTCCGAATTTTCTTCGTGCCCAGGAGCTCACAGACTTGTTGGAGTAGTTTGCCGGAAAATTTTTTGCCCTGGTCGGTCAGCAGCCACTCCGGAGCACCTTTGTCCAGGACGTATCCCTGAACAAAGGCCTCCACGATGGCTGCTGCCGACTGGTTGGCAAGGGGCCAGGCCATAGGCCAGCACGTAAAATACTCCACACCAGTCAACAAATATCTATTGCCCCTGGGGGTGGCGGGGAATGGGCCCAAAATATCCAGCGCGACAAGCTCGTTTACTCTGGACACTTTGATTGATTGCAAGGGTGGGTTAGACTCCCGTGCTGGCGGTTTTCGTTGCACGCACCGAGGGCATGACCCCAATAAATTCCCGACATCCCTCGTCATGCCTGGCCAAAAAAAATCAAGTTGGAGCAAGGCGAGGGTCTTTTGGGTCCCCAGGTGTAGGAGGCGCTCATGAGCGGCCCACACCACCTTGCCCCGCAACCCAGAAGGGACCACCAGCCGGTGTCGATGGGATTTCCCGTCCCAATGCATCAGCAGACCTTGCACCATTTCCCATGCGTCGGCATCACCCCTCCCCCGCCCAGCACCCCCGACGTGACGACGCCACCCGAGGAGGGAGGTATCCTCCATCTGGAGGCGCCCCCATTCAGTGACGGGCAACCCCAACAGGGAATCTTTTCCCTGTTGTGCGATCGAATAAGTAATCAATGTTTCGTCGTCGTCGGCGGCCGCCAAGACCGGAACCGATATGTCCCCCGGAGGCCTGCAACGTCCAGACCCCAGGAGGCATGCACATTCGGAGGTGGTTGGCATGCGCGACAGAGCGTCCGCATTGGTGTGGCGAACGCCCTTACGGTAGGTGGTTTCAAAATCAAAGTCCTGGAGAATCTCCAACCATCGAGACAGTTGTCCCGATGGTTGTTGAACTCGCAGGGCGTACTGTAGTGCCGCATGATCTGTGCGGACGGTGAAATGCCGACCATACAGATATGGGCGATACTGTTGGATGAAATAGACAATTGCCAACAGTTCCCGACGGGTGACACAATATCTTTGCTCCGCAGGAGACAACACCCGACTACCGTACGCGACCACCCGTTCCACGCCGTCAACCACCTGGGAAAGCACGCCCTCAATACCCGTATTGCTCGCATCGGTGTCGAGCAAAAAGGGCTTAGAAAAATCGGGGTAAACCAAGGGAGGAGCTTTTACCAGAGTGTCCCGAAGGGAGCGGAAAGCAGCCTCCTCCTCCTGACCCCAGTGGAACCGAACCCCTTTTGACGTTAAAGCGTGTAGGGGTTTCGCAATCGTCGTAAAATCCGCGACAAACCGTCAGTAATACGACGCGAAGCCAATGAAACTCCTGACCTCTCCCACCGAGGTGGGAGTCGGCCAGGAGCTGACG